ACTATGGGTAACCAAACAGTTAATGGGCCCCACTGACTTCATAGTATCTTTAAAATATCTTCTTCAGAAAAGCATAGAGGTTTGGAGCAACTTGAGGGTGAGTAAATGCTGACAGAATTTTCATTTTTGGGTGAACTGTCCCTTTGGACGTAGATTTAGAATGCCCCGAACTAAAACTAAACAACACATCACTTCATTTGTGCCTAAAAGCATTCAACTACTTAACGAATAATCTATGGGCACATAGATTTATTTTAAATGTGCATTATTGAATATATATCTATTTATTGATTCTTTTAAGCTGCAGAATATTTTAGAGGTTTTTTTAAGAGGGTATTACTGAATATATATATTTATTTATTGATTTCTTAAGTTGTCAATTTGATATATTCCACCTTTATTCTTTTTTTATTTATGTTTATTCTATGTTATTTGTGGTTATGTTTATTGTGGTTCCCATGAGTGTAAAACAAAATCCCCCTTGGGGCAATAAAGGTTTCATTCATTCATTCATTAAGAAAGTATTAGGTTCAATTTTTTAATTCATGTCAACTTTAACCAAGCAAAACACATCTACGCACCTCGTCCTGAAGGGTGGCAAACTCCTCCAGTATGTGACCCAGTTTGTCTCGCTGGCGTGCTCTGTTGTGTCCGTGAATCTGGATGAGGCTGCAGAATGGCTGTGACACAAAATAACATCTAATCTTAATTAAATAATGCATCTAATCAAAAACACTATTTCACTTGTTACAATAACATATCAAACAAAATGAATCACAAACCCGTGTGCAGTGAGTGACAAAAGAGTCAATGTAATCTTTAGCCTGGTGGTTATTGTTCAAACTGCATCTGAGAAAACAGTGAGGGAATATGAATGTCATCTTAAAAGAATCATGAAATGTGACAGGACAGGCAGGAGGAAAACTAAAACAGAATCACGAAACTAAGAACAACATTAGTTAATCTCTGGAGCTTTAATAGTAAAAACGTAGTTTAAATGTTTTCAAAAGAGTTCAACATATAATACTTGTTAGCAGTGTTAGCACAAAACATGTTAGCAGTGGGTATTTAAAGGAGACATGCCCCTTTAAATGGAGTGTTTAAATCAGTGGGCTTAAAGGAGAACTCCGGCGCAAAATGAACCTTTGGTCTAATAACACATTGGTATCTAGTCAATCGTTCTCTGGGATTTGTTTTCATGATAATCGAATGTAAAGAGTTTTATCTCTAAAAACTGTTTAGCGTATAACGCTAGTAATGGGGGCATTTACTAAGGAAAAAGAAATCGCTGGTTATACCACTAACAAGGCTCAAAATAGCCCCACACTAACACAGTAACATAATGAGGGTCCACACATGCAAAACGAAGCATTGAGAACTTTGTAAGTGTACAAACCATTTAATAAGAAGATACATTATAAAGACAGTTCACTTTGTGTATACAGACAGGAGCCATCTTTGGAAAACAGACTCGATAAGTCGAACCACGAACGTCGTGCTGAGTGAGCTGAGTTGTATGAAGTTCAGCGAACTTCTGAACTGTATGAACGGTGTTCGTGGTTTGACTTATCGAGTATGTTTTCCAAAGATGGCTCCTGTCTGTATACGCGAAGTGAACTGTCTTTATAACGCATCTTCTTATTAAACGGTCTGTACACTTACAAAGTTCTCAATGCTTCGTTTTGCATGTATGGACTCTCATTATGTTACTGTGTTAGTGTGGGGCTATTTTGACCCTTGTTAGTGATAGAAACTAGTGATTTCTTTTTACTTAGCAAATGCCCCCATTACTAGCATTATATGCTAAACAGTTTTTAGAGATAACAACTCTTTGAAAACTAATCTCAGAGAACGGTCGACTAGGTACCAATGTGTTATTAGACCAATGGTTCATTTTGCGCCGAGTTCTCCTTTAAATCATGGTAGAAAATGGGGTAAAAAGAGTTTACAGTGTTAGTTTGTTAGTGAGTACATGTAATTCATTAATATTACTCAGTACTTAAATGTATAGACCCCTTTTCAGTTGGTAAACATGGTGACGTTTTTATGTGGGCGGAGCTTAGGTGGAGGCAGAACGATCCCTCTGGCCGCTTCACTAATGCTAGTTAGCAAGTTTTATTAGCTTGTTTTTTTAACAATGACTCAAGAAAATCTGATTTTATCTTAATGTGTAAGGACACTCACTGTCCAGGACCACGATTGTTATTTTCAAAGGTTAATTTTAACGGACAGAACCAGATTGGCCGACCTGTGGCCTTCACACGCTCACTCACTGAATGGGCGATCTGACAGGATTAACGTACGTTACCTCGGGTGAGTGGCCTGACTTCTACACCTACCTTATAGAGAAACTGATCGTAAAGAGAAACTGAGGGCATATAAATCTTTAGATGCCTATAACTATGTGCTGAATGGCCATGTACAAGACTTGTGTGTACGATCCGCTGATCGCAGAAGACGACAATGTAAAGAGTGACAATACGGTTCGCTTTTAATCATGTGAATATTTTCTAGAAATAAAAAGTCCAGATACAGCACATTCATTTTTCATTGATAATTGCACCAAACACAATAAGATGATATTTAATAATAATACAAGTAATTTAAGCTCCGTATTTTGTAGCCGAATCTGTGCTGGTTTGTATTGGCCGCCTCCAGTTTTCACTTTGTTTTGCCTCCAGCTAGTACCGTGACGTAACTGTGACGTCGGCACAAAAGGGGTCTATACTCAACACTGTAATAAGGACATCTTAAAATAAAGTGACCAAAAATGGTCTCTTCTTTCTAAATTATGTTTTTATTTTAATGCAAAAATCCTACTAACAAATGCAGGAACTTGATGTAATTTATAAGCAACAAATGAATTAAAGAGTAAATAATATAGAGTAAAGAAATAATCGCTCACTTTGTGGAGAGGACAGGTGGGCTGACAAAATATCGCAATGCATCTTTAATCATATCTTGCATCAGATGAGTCCCAAACACCTTCTTATTGTCAATCAGAAATGTGGTCTGCATCACACACACACACAGAAGAATTATCAGACTAACCATCATATCATTCTGTCACTATATGTAACAATTTATCCGAAACCAGTTTTATATGTGATATAATTATGTGTTAATGTAATATTCATTGATAATTAAAGCCACGGTTGCAGCAAAGCTATGTTCATGGTGAGAAAAAGAGTGAATAAGTCATACAATTAAAAAAGGCTATCCACAAGTTTCCTACGCCCCATGAGGCCTTGCGTCAAAAGTGGGCGCGACTTCCGGTTGGAAGTAAACAAAGCGTGATTTAACATGCTTGACACTCGTTCATTCAACAGTTGACAGTCATTCAAGTTATAGCGATCCAAACTAGCTAACGATGTGGGAACACAACCTCAACGAAATTCAAAAGGGTGAAATAACAGTACCTTTACCGTCCGCAGTAGTTGATTGGGAGTATTATAATAACATTATTAATAATAATCAATAATCAATAATAATCAAATAATAATCAATGCTCATCAAGGCATGGTGACAGACAGTTGTGCGAGCTGACAAACAATTAAAATAAAAAATACACACTAGTCATTGTGCTTTGGAGTTTATTCAAAATTCTAAATGAATGTGCTGCTTGAATACATTAACTGGCACATTTGGTATTCTGTCAACACAGGCTTTAATCCTGAGTTTAGCTGTAACATCAGTAGCGAACAACCAAACACATGCTGATAGAGTTTATAGAATATTAAGAATTTAAACAAATGTACACAGGAAGATTCGTCGTCTTTTGGGAGGTGATGGAAACTACAGTCGTTGGCAGGATCACTCTGATTTCGTTTTCAGCTTATGTTCAAAACAATCACGTTTAAGCCACTGAACTAGTTTAATCCGGTTATACATACAACCGCGAACAGCACATGTTGTCCATGAACTCCGTAACGACATCTCTCATAAAGATTTGCAGCTTTAAATAGTAAAATAATTCTCCGAAAAACAGCTAGCCTCTTCGCTAACTAACACACAAAATACCATTGGAATGCTACTTCCGCCGCCTCACCGGAAGTTTCACCCACTTTATTTTTTACAGGAGCGCCCCTCGGAAACTTGTGGAAATAAGACATTTAAAGTCACCATGAAATCAAATGGACAATTCCTGTTTTTTTTATGTAACGCTCATAATCTTTCAATGCCCTCAATGCCCTCCCTCTTGCAGATGGGCAACCTGTCACTAACATGATATCACAGCAATAGCAAACCACAACCAACCAATCAATTCCCCAAGGACAAAATTGAGTCCCACCCTACAATTTTTCCTCACTCAAGAAGATATGTCAGAATACAATCTGAACTTCCATTTTATGCTGAATTTAAGATTAATTCAAAACGATACTTCTTTAATTACATCAGTTGAACATACTGTCTATTTAGATTTAAAACAGTCCAGTGAAATAACTTTAAGAGTCATTAAAGATTAAGAAATGTTGTTTTTTGTCCATTTTCTATATATTCCAGATCTCTGAGTAAAGCACAAGCTTCAGATGTAAAGTGATGGATGTCAGATGAAGTTGGTCTGACCTGTAGCAGAGATCTAGACATCACACATGGAGACTGCTCACTGAACTCACAGAAGAAATCCTGAAACCACACACACTCAGCAGGATGAGTTACAGTTCTCTCGAATACTACCACAGAATGCATGTGTTATTAATACAGAGTTATTTTACCAAGATGCTGTGCAGGTTGGTTATGTTGATGACCTCACAGACATTTTTAATGCGCTCAATGAGTTTGCTGAAGTAGTTGACCATCTCTTCTCTCTTAATGATCTTGGCGTAGCGTGGGAAAGTGGGCGGGAGCAGGCGCTGGTTAACCAGTGGCTCAAAACCCATCATGATTGGGTGATCTGGAAAAAGCATGGTGTGTACATTTTAGAAAATTAATTCAACATTACATTTTTAATTGTTTTGAGACTGTTACCTCCTTTGGTTGTGTCATTCTGTGACTGTATCCCATACTGTATAGAGGAGTGTATCGCGGGCAGTAAATCAGCAGCCTGAGTCATCAGCTTCTGTGCTTCGCTGACAGCACTCGTCTTAAATGCCAAATCAACCAATCGATGATTAGATAGCCAACTGGTGAATCTTATTGTGAAGATATATGCTTGAGTGAATTTAATAGTGTCATACCTCTTTTTTAGTGAAGGAGATGAGCGCGCTGAGCAGCAGACGAGTGAATTTAACACGGCTAAACAGAGCCAAGCATTGCTGATGCTGAAGGCAGAAGAGAAGCATGATATTCAAATCAAAACTCTCAGGATTTCAGTACAGTGCTCTCGTCTCGCTGATAATACACACCAATTTCACCAAAAGCGTCCACATATCTCTTTATCTTAAAGTGATACTCCACCCAAAAATGAAAATTTTGAAAATGTACTTTTCCAGAAACCTGTATGCGTTTCTCTCTTCTGATGAACACAAAGGAAGATATTTTGAGGAACGATTGGACCCAAACAGTTGTTTGGCACGACTGACTTCCATAGTAGAAAAGAAAAACACTATGGAAGTCAATGATGCCAAAGTTCCAATCGTTCTTCAAAATATCTTCCTTTGTGTTCATCAGAAGAGAGAAACTCATACAGGTTTGCAACAACTTGAGGGCAAGTAAATGATGACAGAATTTTCATTTTTGGGTGGAGTATCCCTTTAAAGGGATAATTAATTTTTGGTATGTTTTAGCTTACCTCAAGGGCATCCAAGATGTAGGTGTCTTTGTTTCCGCAGTAGTTTCAATTTCATTTTTACCTCTTGTAACCACAGCCACATCCAAGTAATCTGAGGGTGCGAAAGCGCCGGAAGTGATCTCTAGCGCGGTTGCGAAAAAAAAAAATCAATGTTGTCTGTTGATATATCGAAATCGTCTTCCATTGTGATTTCCTGTATATCTAAATATGTTTAGATCTTCACAGTGAAAGGTAACACTTCCGAAATCTCTGTGTAAACAATGAGTGACGTACACGCGCGAGAGATCACGTCAGGTGCTCTCCAGCTCTTACGCAGGCCGAAGCGATATAAATACTGTTTGTTTTCTCACACAAACCGCTCGTTTTGTGTTTTAGGCCATCAATATGTACTTACATTTACGAGTCATTAAATCTTGTTTAATTTGGACTTCTCTGTGCATGCTCTTTGAGGTGGTGACCATAGACCTCCATTATATGACTGACAGACAAGTACGGTTTGACCTAAAAATATAAAAATTGAAACTACTGTCTACAAAGACAACTGATGCTCTTGAGGGAAGCTAAAACATACCAAAAATGTATTTAAAAGTGAACTATCCCTTTAAGTTTAGTATTCAGGGAAATTATTATGTACATACATCAAGTTCCACCTCAGGATCTCTTTGTTCACCCTGTCGACTGCGTGTACTCTGTAAAAAAGAAAAAAGAAAAAGGAAGAAACAACATTTTTAACAAGTCAAGAAAAAAGAAGGAAAATCTAAGAGGTATCGTGAAAAGTCTTGAGATGGAGTCACTATACCTTCACTTTCCTCTGAAGTTCATCCTCAACATCTTTTAGCATTCCTATAGAAATTTTAAAAGGCGAAATGAAAAGACTGATCAGATTCAGATTATTTTATTTCATGCCATGTCAGCAGTCAGAGCTATTTTCATGGCAAAAATTCATTTACAAAAATACAAACATCATATAAATACAACAAAAACAAAACAAATATAAACAAGAAGTCAAATTATAAAATATATATTTTTAAACTAACATTTGATAAAAAATCCAGAACCTTTTCAGGCATAATCTCATTAAATTACTCAAAGAAGTAAAAGACTGATCAACAAAATCCTAAAAAAAAAAAACATGTAGTTAATTTGCATAAGGAAGACGAAGCCTAATATTTTGCTCTGCTGCAATTAAGAACATTTACCCTTAAATTCTTTTTTTTTAGATTTACCTTTCGTTTGTTGTACACTATCTTTCAAAAGATTGGAATCGGTAAGAATTAATTTTTTTTATATAAGTTTCTATTGCTCACCAAAGCTGCATTTATTTGATCAAAAATACAGTTAAAAACAGCAATATTGTGAAATATTATTACAATTTAAAATAACTTTTCTATTTTAATATATTTTAAAAGATAATAAAGTAACAATTGAGATCAGTCTTTACACTCACCTGTCACTCTCAGATCTGTTACGTTATTTGCCATTTTAAAGCCGTAAGTCATGGCCTGAAAATCTTCCTGCGATTGAAAACAGAAAAATTCATTTTCACTGAATAAACCAACAGCAAAATGTAATTACAATAAAAAGTACAATAAAAATAAATGGCGAATGGTGACTACTAATGGCCACACCGCAACTAAATATTTCATTTATAAATAATCTACATATCGTCAGTAATAATACCAGACATTAAGGCATGTAAACCTATTGTATTAGGAGACCTTCAAAACTAAATACGGAAACATTTAAAATAGCATAATGGAGGCAATTTAATTAAAAAAAAGCACAATTTGAACAAGTCACATAAGAATTGAATGTGTCTTGCCTCCTCAAACACAGCGGCTTTGTTGACTTTCTCGCGGGCGATGTCGCATATCTTGAGGATGCCCAGAGCGAAGGCTTTAAGAGCAGGGTCTTGAATAAGATCCGGGTTATGAACATATAGACACGTAAACACAGTCTGAGCCAGAGAATGCCCCTCCAGCCATGTGATCTGAGACAGATGAAGACAACATGACAGAATATTCAATACAGTAAGTAAACACAAATGCAGCTTTTCCAGCCACTGCTTTCTTTAGCATACACTACCATCTCAGTGTCACATGATCCTGCAGAAATCATTCTAATATGCAGATTTGATGAAACAATTCTTAATATTATCAATGTTGAATAATATTTGTCCATTAAAAGAGAAAAGCATTTATTTGAAATCTTTCCTATTACATATGAACTATGTAATGCTTTATTCCTTAATAATAAAAAAATCATTTCTTGTTGAATGTGTATTTTACTATTTTGTGTGTATACACTCACCGAAAGGATTATTAGGAACACCTGTTCAATTTCTCACTAAGGCAATTATCGAATCAAGCAATCACATGGCAGTTGTTTCAATGCATTTAGGGGTGTGGTCCTGGTCAAGACAATCTCCTGAACTCCAAACTGAATGTCAGAATGGGAAAGAAAGGTGATTTAAGCAATTTTGAGCGTGGCATGGTTGTTGGTGTTATTTCACAATCTGCTCAGTTACTGGGATTTTCACACACACAACCATTTCCAGGGTTTACAAAGAATGGTGTGAAAAAGGAAAAACATCCAGTATGCGGCAGTCCTGTGGGCGAAAATGCCTTGTTGATGCGAGAGGTCAGAGGAGAATGGGCCGACTGATTCAAGCTGATAGAAGAGCAACTTTGACTGAAATAACCACTCGTTACAACCGAGGTATGCAGCAAAGCATTTGTGAAGCCACAACACACACAACCTTGAGGCGGATGGGCTACAACAGCAGAAGACCCCACCGGGTACCACTCATCTCCACTACAAATAGGAAAAAGAGGCTACAATTTGCATGAGCTCACCAAAATTGGACAGTTGAAGACTGGAAAAATGTTGCCTGATCTGATGAGTCTCGATTTCTGTTGAGTCATTCAGATGGTAGAGTCAGAATTTGGCGTAAACAGAATGAGAACATGGATCCATCATGCCTTGTTACCACTGTGCAGGCTGGTGGTGGTGGTGTAATGGTGTGGGGGATGTTTTCTTGGCACACTTTAGGCCCTTTAGTACCAATTAGGCATCATTTAAATGCCACAGCCTACCTGAGCATTGTTTCTGACCATGTCCATCCCTTTATGGCCATCATATACCCATCCTCTGATGGCTACTTCCAGCAGGATAATGCACCATGTCACAAAGCTCAAATCATTTCAAATTGGTTTCTTGAACATGACAATGAGTTCACTGTACTAAAATGGCCCCCACAGTCACCAGATCTCAACCCAATAGAGCATCTTTGGGATGTGGTGGAACTGGAGCTTCGTGCCCTGGATGTGCATCCCACAAATCTCCATCAATAAGATGCTATCCTATCAATATGGGCCAACATTTCTAAAGAATGCTTTCAGCACCTTGTTGAATCAATGCCACGTAAAATTAAGGCAGTTCTGAAGGCGAAAGGGGGTCAAACACAGTATTAGGTGTTCCTAAAAATCCTTTAGGTGAGTGTATATATACTTTTTCCCCTTTTAATTACAGACACTTTATTATATATATATATATATATTATATATATATTCTTTTAATTTTCTATTGATACACAGCTTCATGAAACTTTTTGTGTTTACCGATATCAATACTGACCAGACAGCAAAAACATGTGTCCATGATCCCGATGAGCTCAGGAATACTCAGATCTTTCACTCGTATGGCCTCATCCTTCAGAAAAGAGGAAGACGGAAGGAATAAGAAATAGGGAAAAAAATTACATAGAGAGAGACGAAAAGAGAGAGTACAATTTCAGTAAAGTGTGAATACTGTAAATCAGCAGTTTTCAATAGGTGAGGCGCGCCTCACCTGGGGGGCGCCAAAGAGCGACAGGGGAGGCGCGAAGCAGTTTATAATACGCAACTTTTTTTTTTTTTTGTAAGTGGCGTTAAAACAGCACGGGTTGCGTTTTTTGGGGCTTATTAAAAAAAAGGTTGTTTGTTAGGAAAATCTGACAAGCAACTTTGTTTTCTTTACATGGCAGTTGCTGTTTTCTCAATCTCCAATACATTGATTGACAATGTCTGACAAATGGACTTTTGCGTCCATTTCTTTTCCCTTTTTTTTACCTCCTAATTGAATAACGAAAAACATGCTTTCTTTATTCGTTTTTAGACTGGTGAAACGATATTCACAAACTTTTTTTATTTTCTTTATATACAAGGATATTTAACTTCACATTGGCTTATAAAAAAAGCCTAAAACAAAAACATTTCATAAACAGTAAAATGTTAAGTTAGCCTATTTAAAAATAAAACTTTATTCAAACATTAAAAAATTATTTTATGATAGACATGCCTATTACGGTCTTAAGTGAACTCATTTATAAATGCTAATAATAATTAGCATTATTATTAGTCTACATGTAGGCTAGATTCGAAGACTCTTTTTTCCAGAAAAATGTGAGAAAATGGGACGAGTGTCAGATCGCATCTCTGTCAGCAGCTGTCCGAATTTGCTCACTCGGCTGTCCTTACCTACTCTACTCTGAGGCTCACATTCACCCAATTTGAAAACCCCTGCTGTAAATAAAAGCCTAAATCAATTCTGTTCTGTTTTAGAAAATTTGGACTAAACCGCTCAATTCATATGGATTAGTTTTACCATCACTTTATGAACTTGTTGAAGCGTCAAAGTGGTTTTTGCTTAGCTGTCAATAGAGGGACAGAAATCTGTCAGATTTCATCAAAAAGGTCTTCATTTGTGTTCTGAAGATGAACGAAAGTCTTACAGCCAGGTTTGGGTGAGGAATTAATGACAAAATTTTCATTTTTGGGTGTACTATTCCTTTAAACTCACTATATTCAGGTTCATTATCACAAATAATTACATCACTTCACGAGATAAATAAGAAGATCAGGAGTGAGGTGAAACCAGCTCTTTCGAGTGCTACCTTAACAGCTTGTTCAAAGTTGAGGACTTTACGGTTGACTTGGTTTCCGATCATCCCAGCATCCATCTTCGGATCCATCATCTCGATGGCTGACATCGCCTCAAACAGACCGAATCTACAGGAACACGAGCATTACGTACACCGAACGAATGCACCAAATGTTAAATTACACGTAAAAGCATTTCTTAGCTCAAAAAAAATAAATAAAAATGTCTTACAGTTTGTCATGGAGCAACTCGCCAAGTTTGAGCTCTGCAAAATCAAACTCATTTAATCAGCAAATTCGGTTTCTGTACAGCAAGATTATTCAACACGTGAGCACAATAAAACACGACTGATGGCACCAGAACGGTCCAAAAATCTCCTGTTAACAATAACACAGATGTATTGAGGTGACTTATGGATGATGTGGCCAAGCTTGCATGGGAAAGGAAGTTAATTGTAGAACTCTTAGTGACCATAAATGGTAAAAATTAGAATATCAGCAAAAATTCTGCAGCCACGCCTCACTGCACTTTTAGATGATGGATCCTACATGCAAGACACTATATCCTCATGAATTAATGATCAGAATATTGGCTGTAATGGGATTTGAAGACTGCATCCTCATAAGGAATATAACTTTTTACTTTTATAAATCAGGCAGGATACATGGATATTTTTTTGCTTGTTTTGGAAAAATCTGGTTTGAATATTAATGTAAATGTTACATAAACAAGGCATATTTTTCTCCATCTTTCTCAGGGCTTTGTGGAAAATGGCTATTCTGAGAAAAGAGGGTTGACAGTGACATCTACTGTGGAGTTCAGCCAATGATAACTCAGCTTTGTCATGCCCATGAAACACATACACTTCTATGCAAGAAAGAAAAGATGGACCAAGCGCAAACTGGCTAAATACTAAGTAATTTGTCTTATCAACAAATTATTGGTCAGGAAATTAGCCAAATGTAACTGTTACTAAAAAAGTTATTGCTCTCACAGAAAAACATCAAAGACTGAATAAAGTTTTTAGCAGAATACGGGAAGTTGGTTCAGGCTCTATGGTTCTGAAGTGATGAATATTTGGTCTCACATTAAACTCAAATGAACTGGGAGCCATTTTTGAACTACTCTGTTTGAGGCCATTAACTTATATCAGAACAACACTGACTCTTCTTCCTGTAAAAAGCTGTCTGAGAGTTGGAGACGCCAATTCCGTGCTAAGTTTCTTTACCTACAATATTCGTGCAATTCTTGCTAATATTCTGACCAGTGATTTGAGATTAAAATGGTAAAAAAAGACCACTAACTATTTTTTTACTACATTTTTGGCTCGGCCCATTTGTTTTTCCACGTAGTGCACACATATAGACACACACCTTTACAGGCTCCTTTGAATTCTTTGGTGACGTCCACCCAGTCGGCATTGTTTCTCATCTTCTCTGGGATCCCAAGACCCCAACCTCCCTCCTCCTCCTCTACCGACGACTTCATCACCATTGAGACAGCTACGAACATAAAAAATAACGGCATTAAAGCAAGAATGAAGATATTTTTGATCAAATATGAGAGATTTCTGTCCCTCCATTGACAGCTGCCAAACTTCCACTTTGACGCTTCAAAAAGTTCATAAAACTAATCTTTATGAATTGAGCGGTTTAGTAAAAATTTTCTAAAGAGACTCGATCGGTTTATATGATGAACATACAAGAAACATACACCGAACCTGCTTGACTCGCGAGAATGAACCTCATTGGGTCTCACACGTCAAACGAACATGCTTGAGCTTTCATTTACCACAACTGATGTGTGGGTTGATGAGTGTTTATATGTGAATAAAAGCATAAATTCAATCTGTTCATCACATTAAGTGGCCGTGTCTCTTCAGAAAATGTTTGACTAAACCACTCAATTCATTTGGATTAGTGTTACGATCTCTTTATGAACTTTTTGAAGCACCAAAGTGGTAGTTGTGTAGCCTCAGATTTCATTAAAAAGTTTAGGCCTAAGACTTTGGAACGACATTCAGGGTGAGTAAATAATGACAGAATTTTCATTTTTGGGTGAACTAACAGTAACCCTTTAAGAGTTGCCAGAAATATCTTGTACAAGCACATATTAATATGACAAATTAGGGGATATAAGGGAAAGACAGAATGTTTAATTATGTAAACAATGAAACTACATCAAGACTTCATGTTGAGCGTGAGGGCCACTTCAACAGTTTGCACGACTATAATTTAGTGCTTTTAAATAACTGGGTTTCAGCACAATAGATGTCTCAAAACCTGTGAGTTACCAACCTATAGACACATGTTTGGGCAATATATGCAGCACCTCATGATGCGATCTCGGTAGGCAGTTGACTAGGTTGAGCAAAGCTAATTATGTCCTTATTGGGAATTTCCTCAAGCTACAAGCAGGGACGACAGACCATAGGCACAGACACTCAAACAAACTCCAGTATTTTGCTAGGTTAAATAGTGTACCGTTCCTAATGAGGACACTTGTGGAGAAGAACTCATGGTCACTGTACTGCAACCTCCCTTTGTTGTTACTAGTCGACGACGAATAGTCTTTGAATTCAGGTGAGTGTTTTAATGGATATAATAGGATATTAATTACACGTTTTATTTGGTAAAATTCTTTAAATACAGAACCACCATCGACCACAAATAGCCAATGACATTAGCGAAGAGCGATAAATGCTAAGCTGAGTCTAACCCCTAACATATATCATTACTGCTAAATGTATACTTTACAACATTTGAAGGACATATTTATCAACAAAAAAACACATTCAAAGGGTAAATAAATACAATACCTTTAGAAAGGCAGTCTTTCTGTGCTGTTGCAAATATACAGCGCTGCAGCAGTGGACGCCTGTGAATGACATCATACTCTGATTTGCATTCTGGGACATGTAGTTCTGAGCTTTGAAGCCGTAAAATATGTAAGATGTTTATTTATTCTGGTTAAAAATATTATTACTTCGTGAAAATGTTTAATCTATAAATATAGGCCTTAATAACAAAACACTCAATAATCTACACTTTATAATAAACATTATATTTAATAAAAAATGTAGTAATTAATTTATGACAAAAATAAATAAGAATTATTAAAAACATAAATACAAATAAATAATTAATAAAATAACAATGACGATAAATAATAACAAAATCACAAAGTTAAAAACAATTTAAAAAATGATGTATCAAGATGTTTGTAAAACGTGTGAAACTGTGATACGATTATAAATGTATATATTGTTATATTAATATAATTATAAATATATATACATAATAAATAATTATAAAATATAATATATATATACATATCATAAATTATAGTATATAATTTATTAATTATATATATTAACAAAAAATACATATATAAACACAATTTTATGTTAGATGCGATAAATCGATTTGAACGCACTAATGTGTATGTGTAATATAAATGACGTTTTTTTACCGTCGTTACGTTAGTCATCATGCTCGAAGCTGCGCAGCGCAGTGTGTGGACGCTGATCTGTAGTCCATCTGTGCGTCAGACTCTGAATGTGACACATGAGGTGCAGATCCTGGATTCTGCGCCAGCTCTGTTACTGGACGCGCCCTCACTTCCGAGTGTGTGTTGGGGGTTAGAGTCAATAATAATAACAGCATCAGGGGGCTTATGTTGTGTTGTGTCTGTGCTGCCAAGAGATCGCGCTGCTAGGAGTTCAGATGGCGCAGCTCTCGCATGCTTTAAAGGTTGGTGGTGCTCGCGTGTATTTGTATATGTGCCAGTGACAGAGATCAGCTGTCCTGTTAGCGTATCTGTGCTAACACTGGAGCTTTCTCTGCAGGACAGGTGGATCTGACATGATCATGAGTTGGCTTCACTCATACTTGAGGTGTTTTATCAACTTAATAATTAATAATGCATTTGAATTAATTATTCATTAGCTGATCTGAATCTGACTGTAACATTCTCCTCAGAAAGCCTAATTTAAATAGGAGTGGATTGCACTTAAGTTACTGGCCTTGGCTCAAAACCTAATGTGATCCCTACATGGACAGCTTTTTTGGGAGCCTATTATGCCCTAAAATGGCTGTCCAGATTGACAGCACAGTAGGTTTCAATGTCCTAAAAATGCTGTCTGTGTGGCCAGATGATGCACAAACAATATTGTTTATGTTGACAGCTCTCTAGAGCTTGATGCTTAAAAATGTCTATGTTTGGAAGCTTAGTGGATTTTGATGCTTAAAAATGCTCTGAAATACACTCTAAATGCTGTTGGGAGCTCTTCTAAAGCTTGATGTCTAAAAATGAAGTCTCTATAGGCAGAAAAAGCTGAGTAGGTCTTAATGCCCCAAAATGTATGTGGACTGATATATTATGATGGCCAACAATGTTGCCTAGTTTGGCAACTCAGTAGGCACTGATGCACAAGTATGTTGTGTTTTCATCTAGGTAGCTGTATAGGTAGTTTGCTCACTAGGTTTTGAGACACAGGCGGTTAGATTCTTGCTGCTGTTTTTGTTTTTCCCTCCCTTGAATAAGTAAAATGCTTATGATATAAGACTTTATAAAGTGGCCAGTGTTGCTGTATAAACTCGGACTGATTTGAATGCCCCCACCCCGCCCCACCCCCCACCCCCCAGGAGTCAGTTTGACGTTTATTGAATGTGAGAAGAAATGAATAAACCCAAAATGGCAGCAGAAAAAAGGTTAGTTTTTGTTTCCGACTTAAATATACACGTAGTATGCTTTGCCGGTGTGTACTTGGCCTGTTGTGATGGTTTCCTGTATTCCCAGTGCTTCCCGGGTTCTGACGTTACTGAGTCAGCTGGAGAGGCTGAATGAGGAGCCCAAAGTTTCTGATAAGGATGCCATCCGACAAATCACAGGAAAAGTCCTTCACCTCATCCAGACCCAAGGTGACCTGACACACAAAACTGATGAATAAACACAATGCTTGATCAGCAGCTTCAAACATGTACAATAATTCCTGGTCTTTTTGTGGGAAATTCAGCAAATAAAAATGTTTGACTTATGCTTCATTCAGTGTGTTACATAGATGTTTGTGAATGTAAAAGGTCTGCAAAGTAAATACTAATGTTAACCAAAAGCCAAATAGCTATTCAGACATTTCTTTTAAACAGTATATTTGAATCGATTTTTCAGGGTTGTATTGAATGTCCCGTACTCCTCAGAAGTTGGTAGTTGGACTGTAATAGAAAACATTCACTTTTTGGTAGCATTAAAACCAATGAGATTCGTACCACGTTTGAGCTTCTGCAAGAACCAATGAGGTTCATTCTTGTGTTACGCATCACATTTCAGCTTCTGCAAGAGCCAATGAGGTTCATTCTTGTGTTACGCATCACATTTGAGCTTCAACAAGAACCAATGAGGTTCATTCTCGCATTACACATCACATTTGAGCTTCAGCAAGAACCAATGAGGTTCATTCTTGTGTTACGCATCACATTTGAGCTTCTGCAAGAACCAATGAGGTTCATTCTCGTGTTACGCATCACATTTGAGCTTCAACAAGAACAAATGAGGTTCATTCTCGTTTTACGCATCACATTTGAGCTTCTGCAAGAACCAATGAGGTTCATTCTCGTGTTACGCATCACATTTGAGCTTCTGCAAGAACAAATGAGGTTCCTTCTTGTGTTACGCATCACATTTGAGCTTCAGCAAGAACCAATGAGGTTCATTCTCGTGTTACGCATCACATTTGAGCTTCAACAAGAACAAATGAGGTTCATTCTCGTGTTACGCATCACATTTGAGCTTCTGCAAGAACCAATGAGGTTCATTCTCGTGTTACGCATCACGTTTGAGCTTCAACAAGAACAAATGAGGTTCATTCTTGTGTTACGCATCACGTTTGAGCTTCAGCAAGAACCAATGAGGTTCATTTTCGTGTTACACATCACATTTGAGCTTCAGCAAGAACCAATGAGGTTCATTCTTGTGTTACGCATCACATTTGAGCTTCTGCAAGAACCAATGAGGTTCATTCTCGTGTTACGCATCACATTTGAGCTTCTGCAAGAACCAATGAGGTTCATTTTCGTGTTACGCATCACATTTGAGCTTCAACAAGAACAAATGAGGTTCATTCTCATGTTACGCATCACATTTGAGCTTCTGCAAGAACCAATGAGGTTCATTCTCGTGTTACGCATCACATTTGAGCTTCTGCAAGAACAAAAGAGGTTCCTTCTTGTGTTACGCATCACATTTGAGCTTCAGCAAGAACCAATGAGGTTCATTCTCATGTTACGCATCACATTTGAGCTTCTGCAAGAACCAATGAGGTTCATTCTCGTGTTACGCATCACGTTTGAGCTTCAGCAAGAACCAATGAGGTTCATTCTCATGTTACGCATCACATTTGAGCTTCTGCAAGAACCAATGAGGTTCATTCTCGTGTTACGCATCACATTTGAGCTTCTGCAAGAACAAATGAGGTTCATTCTCATGTTACGCATCACATTTGAGCTTCAACAAGAACAAATGAGGTTCATTCTTGTGTTACGCATCACGTTTGAGCTTCAGCAAGAACCCATGAGGTTCATTTTCGTGTTACACATCACATTTGAGCTTCAACAAGAACCAATTAGATTCATTCTTGTGTTACGCATCACATTTGAGCTTCAACAAGAACCAATGAGATTCATTCTTGTGTTACGCATCACATTTGAGCTTCAGCAAGAACCAATGAGGTTCATTTTCATGTTACACATCACATTTGAGCTTCAACAAGAACCAATTAGATTCATTCTTGTGTTACGCATCACATTTGAGCTTCAGCAAGAACCAATGAGGTTCATTTTCGTGTTACGCATCACATTTGAGCTTCTGCAAGAACCAATGAGATTCATTCTTGTGTTACGCATCACATTTGAGCTTCAACAAGAACAAATGAGGTTCATTCTCGTGTTACACATCACATTTGAGCTTCAACAAGAACCAATGAGATTCATTCTTGTGTTACGCATCACATTTGAGCTTCAACAACAACAAATGAGGTTCATTCTTGTGTTACGCATCACATTTGAGCTTCTGCAAGAACCAATGAGGTTCATTCTCGTGTTACACATCACATTTGAGCTTCAACAAGAACCAATGAGATTCATTCTTGTGTTACGCATCACATTTGAGCTTCTGCAAGAACCAATGAGGTTCATTCTCTTGTTACGCATCACGTTTGAGCTTCAGCAAGAACCCATGAGGTTCATTCCCGTGTTGTGCATCATGTTTGAGCTTCTGCAAGAACCAATGAGATTTGTTCTTGCGTGTCAAGCATGTATTGAGTTTCTGTTTATGTTCGCTGATCAATGTTTGTATGTGAATAAAAGCCTACATTTAATCTGTTAATCATATAAAGCGATCATTTCTCTTCAGAAAATTTGGACTAAGTCACATGGCTTTGTTTTACAATCTCTTTTTGAAGCGTCAAATGGCCTGAGCTTGCTGAGATGCTGAAGAGATCAGCTGTGAAATGTGACAGCTCTGGGGTATCCAGCACTCGCTCGCTCTTCCCCCTGACCCCCGCTGACCGTAACCGCACACCACATATGCGTAATATCTCTACTGTCTGCACAGTGAAACCCACCCCATGCCATCAGCAACTGAAAGAAAATATGGAAATGTTCCCACGACTCTGAATGGTCGCCCCTTGTGCCCTCCCTCTCTCTCTCTTCCTCTTGCTCTCTCTCCCTCACTTAGAGTTCCCCTTCACATTTTCTCTCTCTATCTCAGTTCCCCTTCACATTCTCAGATCTCGGCCATATCCTCACATGCTTGTGAACGTCATTGATCTGTCGTGGGCTTCGCAGGCGTGTGTGTTTTGACTGACACCTCCTGGGCTGTGGGAGGGGTCTGTGTGTATGTGAAATATGATTACCCTGGTGTAGAATTTCACCAGTATCAGTGTTATGGATGAAGCGCTGGAGTGTATTCAGGTTATGAGAAGAGGCATAAGAGTGGTGGTTTGGATATGTGTTAGGAATAAAGATGGCCTACAGAAGTCATGTCAGAAGGAAGACGAGTGGTTTGTGCCGGCCCTCGGGAAGCCCTGGTAAGATCAGAGCTTTTTACGGCTTCTAAACTTTCCAAACATTACTTTTTATGATATGTGAAGATCAAGTTTCACACTTAAAAGGATAGTTGAAAACTGTCATTATTTAAACATCATTCAAGTTGCTTCAAACCTGTGTGAGTTTCTTTCCTCTGTTGAGCACGAGAAGAAGATAATTTGCAGAATGTTGGTAATCAAACAGATGATGACCGTTGACTTCCATTTTAGGAAAAAAAATACTATGGAAGTCAATGGTAAATGGACTGTATTTATATAGTGCTTTCACAGGCCCAATGGCCACCAAAGCACTTTACATTTTGCCATGCAAGCCACCATCCAGCTTGTCGAGAGCAGCTGGGGTTAAAGGGTTAGTTCACCCAAAAATGAAAATTCTGTCAGTATTTACTCGCCCTCATGTTGTTTCAACCCCGTAAGACCTTCGTTCATCTTCGGAACACAAATTAAGATATTTAAGATATTAAGATCGCTCCTGCATACAGTCCATAGGCTTCTTGAGGTACTGGCTCTTGCTGTCCCCGAAAAGTCATTAAAGACATCGTTAAAATAGTCCAAGTGACTACAGGGGCTCAATCTTAAGTTTATCAAACGACGAGAACACTTTTGTGCGCAAAAAACAACAAAAATAACGACTTTATTTCAACTATTCGTTTATTTCTCCCTCTGCGCGAGTCAGGTTACTAGTTTAATAGCGTAAGCTTCTGTTATTGTACGTCACACGCATCACACACACATGACCAGCGTCGGCCAATGGTGAGCCTACGTGTGACGTAGCTCTACGCAATCACACTACGTTAACTGACTTACAGGCTCATGGAGAAGGACGTGAATAGTTGAAATAAAGTCGTTATTTTTGTTGTTTTTTTGCGCACAAAAGTGTTCTCGTCGTTTGATAAACTTAAGATTGAGCCCCTGTAGTCACTTGGACTATTTTAACGATGTCTTTAATGACTTTTCGGGGACAGCAAGAGCCAGTACCTCAAGAAGCCTATGGACTGTATGCAGGAGCGATCTTAATATCTTAAATATCTTAATTTGTGTTCCGAAGATGAACGAAGGTCTTACGGGGTTGAAACAACATGAGGGCGAGTAAATACTGACAGAATTTTCATTTTTGGGTGAACTAACCCTTTAAGTGTCTTGCTCATGGACACCTCGACACTTGGTCAGGAGGAACCGGGGATTGAACCACCAACCTTCCAGTTTGTAGACATGAACCACTGAGCAACTGCTGCCACAATGGCTAACATCAACTGTTTGATTATCAACATTCTTTAAAATTATCTTCTTCTCGTGTTCAGCTGAAGAAAGAACTAACTGCGAGGACTTTAGATGACGCCAACTCTGATAACAAAATTTTCGTTTTCGGGTGAACTATCCCTTTAAGTATTACAGTGTTGCAGCCCCTATAATAATTCAAATTTTCATCTCTTTTATATCATACATTTTAATACTATCTCTAATCTGCTAAATGTGGAGAGTTAGACATTAAGGGTATTATAAAGTTTAATGATGTGTATAGTGAAAAGTGCAATACAAATAAAATGTGCTTGACTATTATTGAATTTTATAGTAAAAGTCATTCATTTTAAATTCAGTTTTAGTTCTTTATTCACAATTTTTCAGTAAACTTCATATTAGCATATTTGAACACTATATTAATAAGTATTATTAATTTGTATTAATAAAACAGATTAACATCAACTTTCACCCAACTGAACAGATATAATATATGTGTGTGTAATGTATATATATATATATATATAAATGATGTATTTCAACTATCAGTTAATACATCATTCAAATTTATAAATAATTAATAGAGATATTGAACTGAATTTCAAAGTAATGATTATAGTTGTATTTATGTAATCTTATTTGTGAATTATCATCAATATAGTAAAATTCACTTAGGCAGATTAATTGCATTCTACTAAACAAAGATATAACCCTTAAAATAAATTAAATTATTGAATACATTGTCTTATTGAATGTCAAATGTAAATGTTATTTATTATTATTATTTTAGTAGTAATTAATAGTAATGTTTCTAAAGCAGAGGTGTAGTTTGAATAAATGTAAAAATGTAATTAATTTATGAACTTGTGACAGCTATATGAGTTAGTTAAAATATATATATATATATTTCAGTTTTAAATTTCTTAGCATGTCCTTACCATTTCTTTATTTGGGTGGGGGAGTGATCTTGTTACTCTGCACTTGGATCCGGTTTGAAATGCACTGACGTGTTCGTCTGATCTTTGCTCGTGTCTCTTCGGTTACGCCGTGTCCATTGGAGAGTTCAGAGTGATTGAAACCATGCGCCGCATCAGCCTGACATGTGTACTCTACAGCCTTCTGCCATGTCATCAGTTTCTGATTTGCGCAGCACTTTTTATTTATGTCTGTGTGTGTACATCTAGGCTGGGATATGTAACAAGTTCATTTGCTGTTAATAGTAGATGGAGCGTCCATGTCTCGTGCGCTTGTCATTTAAGAGGGATCTTGGCATGCATAACTCAAGCACGCTGATATATTTACCACTGGCCAAACTTCTTGTTCTTCCCGAAGGTGTTGGGTTCAGAAGTTCCACTGCCTGCTCGACTGCTTCGCTTTTAAATTCTCAAGTTGTTTTTAACGCTACTCTGCAGTCTGACTGTGTTGAGTTGATTTAAGTGCTCTAATAATAAGTTAAGTGCTCTAATAATAGAAGTGGTCAACAAGTGTCAGTATTTTGCCAAAGGTTTAGTGCCATTTTTAAGGTCATAAATGAAAGATGAAAATTATTATTAAATATGAAATTATTATTAAATAAATTTTTTTCCAATTAAGTCAATAATCAATATCTTTGGAAGCTTGTTTCCACCACAAAATAAAAAATAAAAGGTAATTTCCACTTTTTCTCACAATTCTGAATTTGTCTCGCAATTCTGACTTTTTTTCTGAATTGCATGATAAAGTTGCAATTGCGAGTTATAGTCAGAATTGCGTGATAAAAAGTTGCAATTGCGAGTAATAGTCAGAATTGCGTGAAGTAAAGTTGCAATTGCAAGTTATAGTCAGAATTGCATCAGAATTGTGTGATATAAAGTTGCAAATCGCGAGTTTTAGTCAGAATTGCATCAGAATTGTGTGATATTAAGTTGCAATTGCGAGTTATAGACAGAATTACGTGATAAGCTGCAATTGCGAGTTATAGTCAGAATTGCGTGATAAAAAGTTGCAATTGCGAGTAATAGTCAGCATTGCATCAGAATTGTGTGATATAAAGTTGCAATTGTGAGTTATAGTCAGAATTATGACATAATTGTGTAATATAAAGTTGAAATTGCGAGTTATAGCCAGAATTGCGTGATATAAAGTTGCAATTGCGAGTTATAGTCAGAATTATGACATAATTGTGTAATATAAAGTTGAAATTGCGAGTTATAGCCAGAATTGCGTGATATAAAGTTGCAATTGTGAGTTATTGTCAGAATTGTGTGATATAAAGTTGAAATTGCGAGTTATAGTCAGAATTGCATGATATAAAGTTGCAATTGCGAGTTATAGTCAGAATTGCGTGTTATAAAGTTGCAATTGCGAGTTATAGTTAGAATTGCGTCAGAATTGCATGATATGAAGTTGCAATTGTGAGTTATTGTCAGAATTGTGTGATATAAAGTTGCAATTGTGAGTTATTGTCAGAATTGCGTGATATAAAGTTGCAATTGTGAGTTTTAGTCAGAATTGCGTGATATAAAGTTGCAATTGTGAGTTATTGTCAGAATTGCGTGATATAAAGTTGCAATTGTGAGTTATTGTCAGAATTGCGTGATATAAAGTTGCAATTGTGAGTTTTAGTCAGAATTGCGTGATATAAAGTTGCAATTGTGAGTTATTGTCAGAATTGCGTGATATAAAGTTGCAATTGTGAGTTATTGTCAGAATTGCGTGATATAAAGTTGCAATTGTGAGTTTTAGTCAGAATTGCGTGATATAAAGTTGCAATTGTGAGTTATTGTCAGAATTGCGTGATATAAAGTTGCAATTGTGAGTTTTAGTCAGAATTGCCTGACATAAAGTTGCAATTGCGAGTTATAGTCAGAATTGCGTCAGAATTGTGATATAAAGTTGCAATTGCGATTTATAGTCAGAATTGCATGATAGAAACAACACGGAGGACCGCTTGAGTAACTTTTGTCTCTATCTCTCTCATTTACTGTTAAGGTTAGTTAAATTCACAAAATTATATATTATATTTGAGTTTATCAAATTGTCATTTACATGCTTTAATGTCCAACCCATTTGTTTTCATTTTCGATTTGTAATTTTAAAGAGATAGTTCAACCAAAAATGTAAATTCTGTCATTAATTACTTGCGCTCATGTCGTTCCAATCCAGCAAGTCTTTTGTTCATTTTCCGAATACAAATGAAGATATTTTTAATGAAATCTGCGATTTCTGTCCCTCCATTGACAGACTATGCAACTACCACTTTCAAGCCCCAGAAAAGTAGTAAAGACATCATTAACGTTAGAGTAGTCCATGTGATTGGAGATTAATATTGTAAATAAGTTGATAAGTTATGTTTTTTTTTTGCACAAACAAAATTGAGGTTAAACCACTGGAGTCACATTGATTACTTTAATGATGTCTTTCAGGACTCCAGCAGCTGATTTGGTAGTGCAGGGGGGAAATGTATCATAAAGTTCATTTAATCATAAAATTCCTATTGGTTTGCATTAATAAGTGCAGTTACTAATAATATTACATGTTTGTTTATTGAAGATTTAAAAGTTAAGCACTGAGCTTGAATTGATATGGAGATAATTTCCTTTTATGAACAACAGTAATGTGCAAAACCCAATTTTTTACAGGGAAAAGTTAAATATTCTACACTTATTAAATGTTCCATTGCTCTTCTATTGGATAATACTGAACTGACCAAAAGCATGAGTGATTATAAAAGGAGCTTTGTTATCTTTATAATGCAGTCACAATTTGAAGAAAAGTTTTAGTTTTTCCATGACATTTACATTTCATTTTGCAGACGCTTTTATCTAAAGTTTCAGACATTGCTCAGAGTAGTATCAGTTGGATATAAGGGATTAAAGGGAAAATGAAAGCATAGCCATGAGACTTTGTGACTTCATGTGCAGATCTCACTGCAGAGTCAAGTGATGTCCAGCTCAACCTCTCTGGACGTAAAGGGGGTGGAGGGATAGAAAGTGGGTGGGGTTAGGGTGTGCTTGGATATTTTAGCTACCTTCCACCAGATATAAACTCGCAATTGCAAGACATAAAATCATATAAACATGCAATCCTCGAAAAATTTTAACTTTATAACTCGCAATTGCAAGTTTTTATCATGTAAAAATATTCCTTTATAATTTACAATTATGACTTTATATCTTGAAATTCTGAGAAAAAGTCAAAATTGCTAAATGTAAATTTGCAATTGTGAGGAAAAAAAGTTCATCAAAAGTCACAATTACCTTTATTAACAGAATATTTTGTCATGTTTTAGAGAAGACCCGTAAGGAGGTGGTGTCTAAAGGCTCTGGTGGGATGGAGGTCATTCTATCATCTCTCGAGGTACCATCACTCAGAACTGACAACTTTACGCTGCCATGAAATCACATCTGTTTTATCTTAGCTCAATTTGAAGTGCTTTTCAGCTGCTAATCTACTTGATTCTTTACAGAATACACGGGATTTGCAGACCAATCTGAACATCCTCGGTATTTTGAATGAACTGTTGACTGTGGGTGAGTTTCAGTGTTGTTATTGTTACCTAAAACTATTCAAAAATGTCAAATAAAATATAATGTAATTATATTAAAGTGAGAAATATTACCTAGGCAACTAAATGAAATGAAATAAGTTGAAGTACATAAATTATTTAAAGCTGCAGTCTGTAACTTTTTTGGGTTAAAAATGATCCAAAATAAATGTTTGAACAAGCACATAACCAGCCAGTGTTCAAAACTATCTGCTTGCCTTAGCTCGATTCAAAACGGTAAGCTTGTAATAATGTTTTTAATTCCAGTGGTACCGTTGGATTTCCGCGGGAGATTCGAGCATGTCTTTGCGTCATTACGTCACATCTGTACACACAAAGAAGAGTCTCGGCTAGTTGGCTATATTGAGTCATTACGTCACATCTGTACACACAAAGAAGAGTCTCGGCTAGTCGGCTATATTGAGTCATTGTGTCACATCCGTACACACAAAGAAGAGTCTCGGCTAGTTGGCTATATTGAGTCATTACGTCACATCTGTACACACAAAGAAGAGTCTCGGCTAGTCGGCTATATTGAGTCATTACGTCACATCTGTACACACAAAGAAGAGTCTCGGCTAGTCGGCTATATTGAGTCATTGTGTCACATCTGTACACACAAAGAAGAGTCTCAGCTAGTCGGCTATATTGAGTCATTGTGTCACATCCGTACACGTAAAGAAGAGTCTCGGCTAGTCGGCTATGTTGAGTCATTACGTCACATCTGTACACACAAAGAAGAGTCTCGGCTAGTCGGCTATATTGAGTCATTGTGTCACATCCGTACACGTAAAGAAGAGTCTCGGCTAGTCGGCTATATTGAGTCATTACGTCACATCCGTACACACAAAGAAGAGTCTCGGCTAGTCGGCTATATTGAGTCATTACGTCAAATCCGTACACATAAAGAAGAGTCTCGGCTAGTCGGCCATATTGAGTCATTACGTCACATCCGTACACACAAAGAAGAGTCTCGGCTAGTCGGCTATATTGAGTCATTACGTCAAATCCGTACACATAAAGAAGAGTCTCGGCTAGTCGGCTATATTGAGTCATTACGTCACATCCGTACACACAAAGAAGAGTCTCGGCTAGTCGGCTATATTGAGTCATTACGTCACATCCGTACACACAAAGAAGAGTCTCGGCTAGTCGGCTATATTGAGTCATTACGTCAAATCCGTACACATAAAGAAGAGTCTCGGCTAGTCGGCTATATTGAGTCATTACGTCACATCCGTACACACAAAGAAGAGTCTCGGCTAGTCGGCTATATTGAGTCATTACGTCACATCCGTACACACAAAGAAGAGTCTCGGCTAGTCGGCTATATTGAGTCATTACGTCAAATCCGTACACATAAAGAAGAGTCTCGGCTAGTCGGCTATATTGAGTCATTACGTCACATCCGTACACACAAAGAAGAGTCTCGGCTAGTCGGCTATATTGAGTCATTACGTCACATCCGTACACACAAAGAAGAGTCTCGGCTAGTCGGCTATATTGAGTCATTACGTCAAATCCGTACACATAAAGAAGAGTCTCGGCTAGTCGGCTATATTGAGTCATTACGTCACATCCGTACACACAAAGAAGAGTCTCGGCTAGTCGGCTATATTGAGTCATTACGTCACATCCGTACACACAAAGAAGAGTCTCGGCTAGTCGGCTATATTGAGTCATTACGTCACATCCGTACACACAAAGAAGAGTCTCGGCTAGTCGGCTATATTGAGTCATTACGTCACATCCGTACACATAAAGAAGAGTCTCGGCTAGTCGGCTATATTGAGTCATGTCACATCTGTACACACAAAGAAGAGTCTCGGCTAGTTGGCTATATTGAGTCATTACATTTAGATGTGTTAGACCAATCATAACAGAGTGGCTCATCTGACCAATTACAGAAGAGTTGACTCTCTAAAAGGAAAGGGTTTAGAGGGACTGAATCCTTAATCGAGCCGTTTCTGACACTGTGAGAAAAGAGATGATGCTGCAATGTATGTTATGAGAGGAAAAAAATGTGTTTTCACTTTCACTGTATACATGTAAGCTTATTGTAGGAGATCTCCAAAACAATATTAGGAACCTTTACAGTCTTTTGAACAAATTGCAAATGCTTTGATACATTCATGGAATTGATAATATACAATTGTCTGCTGTTTCCTACATCATCAATTGCTTTTGTCATGTTGATCAAAATATATTATATGGTTCCCGGTAGAATGGTCTTACCCCTCAAACATCTAGGCGTTAGTCCTAGAATAAGTGATTAAATGCAAAATGATTGAACTAGTTGTCATAAACTGTCAATATTTCCATTCAATTCTATTCTATTAGACTTTTTTTGTTTGTTTTTTATAAATGTGTCCTGAATTGATGAATTGCGGAGGTGAATTTTGAATTTCATAATGAAGGAAAATATAAAGGGCTTGATCAACCAATGACCAACCCGTTGTCTAAAATAGCATCTCATGGCGCTGCATTTTGCAAGCATATATATAGACAGAGCACAACACAGTGTAACAAATTCTGTCAATGGAAGAACAACAAGGAAACAAACAGGGTCAACAGCCGGGAAGAAGAACAGGATTAACAGGATGCGTGACCTTATGGATGATGAGGGGGGAAAAGGTACAGCCTAATGTTGGGAGAACAATCGTGTCCTCAACTATTCAAACGTTTGTTGAAAGAACAGGTTCAGTATGTACAGTAATCAGACAGTGTTCCCTATACTGTATTGTATTGTAATGCAATATTACCAGTCCACTAGCATTTTACTCTACATATATATATATATATATATATATATATATATGTGTATATACACACATATATGTAGTCTTGTCTTTTTCTTTATATTGAAATAATAACATTTGACTGTAATTTGACAGACCAACAGTAAAAGTGTAGCTGTGAATGCTGTCCAGTCTCTTGTAATCAATGTCCCACATAGTAATGTGTAAATTTGTACTGATATTTATACACGTCATATAGATAAAGTGCAGTCTTGTGCATTTTCATTGTCATCAAAATCGTAGCTATATTTTACATCTGAAAATACAGACAATACTGTTATATTGACAACATCACCTAAGCATTTTGAATATCTTGTTTGTGAACAATGACACAGAGACTTCTCATTTTGATGGCACTGACATGAGATGAACTAAGGATTTTGAGCTAGTTTTTTTTACAGGTAATCCATTGCGTAGTGCTGTCTGTATGAATTGTTTTAAGAAAAAGCACTTACTGGTTTGCAAATATTAACGATGATTCAAGAAATGTACCAATGCGACTGAGAAAAACTGTAAAATAGCATAATAATGGCACTTTAAGTGGCTCTCTGAAGGTGATGAGACATGGGGCAAGATTTTTGAGCGATGTTGCTTGGGCACTTTGCCATCGAGAATGTGACACAAATTTCTGTCTGGATACTTTAAATCGGTCGTGTGCCCCGTATCTCACCTGGTTGCCCAGCAACAATGTTCAACAAGTTGCCCTGTGTTTCATCCCCTTTAGACTTCCATAAAAGTCCCTTTGTACACTACACTAGAATCGGCTAAGAAAAGCTGTAATCAGGAGACTTCAGTCAAAACAGTGTGTTTCTTGAAGGACAGAATGGCTGTGTCAGTTCTAGCACAATGTTTGTTTCACTCTATCTCTGCTGTACTTGTTGTGGTAGGTGGAGGCCGTAGGACCGGGGTGTTTGTGTCCAAGGGAGGAACAGCGATTCTGTTACAGTTGTTAGTGAGCTCCAGCAAAGACCCTCCTGCCAATGAGGAACTAATGATTCTCATTCATTCTCTACTGGTCAAAGTTGGCCCGAAAGGTACAAAAGACTTTTCACTTGTATTAGCTTTGCTAACACTGTAACCTAAAATCAGAATACACAATATTTTCATATAATCTAAACAACATCTTATACGTCTACAGTTATAATATATCTATTTGAATCTGTTGAAGCTTGATTAAGATGTCAGAAATTGCAGTTGACAAACAATTTCCAGTGACATCACTTCCTTATTCAGACAAGAAGTTTGGTGTTAAAGCGCGTCTGAACGGGGCTCTGAATGTGACTGTGAATCTAGTGAAACATAATCTGCACAACTACAAGCTGTTATTGCCATGCCTGCAGGTGCTTCGGGTCTACTCAAGCAACTGTAAGTTCACTCGCTGTACATTTGATGTTCTCTGTTGTAAATTTACGATAACAATTGCAATATGCTGATTTAAAAAAGTTGATTTGGTCACTGATACATTTTGCATCTATACAGTAGGGCATTTGTGAACTTCAAGATGTTTTGTCTTTTTCGTAGTGGTAAATGCAGTGTCGCTGGGAAGGAGTGGCGCTTTGGAGATCACGTTCGATATTATTGGACCCTTTAGCAAAAAGAGCACCACTCTACTAAAGTATGTAGTTTGTGTTCCTGTTTGTCGGATCTGAGAAAGATAATAATGCACATTCCCTATATGCCAGTCTCATCGACGTTTTGTTGAAATACCAACTCAAGAGGTTGCTCTTGGGAGCCCCAAACCTCTGATATATTTAGTAAATTTGTATGTCCAGCCACTCCCCTGTTATAAAAGAGCCAGAGGGATCTTGTTCTTCGAAGCCAATCAGTGGTCTCTCTCTCCTCTCACACGCAGTTAAGTGCAGAGAGTTCCCCTTAACAGCATCATTCAAGCATGCCTTTTTGTCGATGGCCTTCTGGGAGCAGTAGACTTACATCTCCCTCTGACAGCAGTAATCACTGTCCTAAATGGTAAATGTCCTCACTGTTGCCCCTTTTCCACCAAAAAAAGAACTGGTTCGGAACTGGTGGTTGTTCAAAGTTGGTTCGGAGTTGGTTCAACTTGCGAACCGCTTCAGAACCTGTTTGTTTTTCCACTGACTAGAGCGCCCAGGGAACGACGTTGTTACGTCACTGTGTACGTCGCCATACGTCTTAGCTAGAAACGCTTACTTTGGGATTATCTCCAACTCGTGAACCAAGAAGGCTTTAAAAACTATTGAAATATGTAAGTCTTTTAATCTTTTCGTTTGATATGTAATCTTTTCTGATGAGTTATGTATCCCTGTCTTGTCTCTTTTTTTCTTTCCATTTATTTGTTCTATATTGGGACTGTTTTCTTCTTTGCTTATAATGTCTTCAATAAAAAAAATTACAAAAATAGAAACGCTTGCGTTAACTTTAAGCATAACAATTACAAAGGCGGACATCGTGTTTCTGCAAATGTTTCTCTTGGCTTTGCCATCCTTTATTATGGTCAGAAAAGATGTTTCAAACACATCTAAACCCGCCCCAGCCCCCGATGTAAGCATGACGTGGTAAAAGAACGGTTCTACTCCAGCAAAGAGTTGGTGCCTCTTTGGAACCAGTTCTCCTGGAGAACCGGTTCTTTGGCTGTCGAAACACAAAGAACTGGTTCGCGCGCAGGAACCGGCTCCGAACCGGCTCTCAAAATGCTTTGGTGGAAAAGGGGCTTGTGAGGACGTGGCCATGAGCCACGCTGCGCTCATTCTTTTTCAAGAGACCAAGAGTCACCTCAGATGTTTCCCGTCTTGGTCCTTTTACCTCTGCATATCAATCCTCTGCAAACCCATGGGACTCCCATTCCTCTGCATGCCTGCACGCTTGTGTTCTTTCAAATCAGTTTCTGGATGAGTTTGGCGGCTTAATTTCTCATTCGGGGCTGGTAAGGAATATGAATTATCAATTGCAGCATTAGAGGACAGGCTTGCACTTTTAGAAGCTGAAGACTCACCTGAGCCTCCACCCTCAGGAGTCACGGCTTAGTCTGAGGCAAATGCTGAGTTGGCGGCTGTACTTGCTCGAGCATTGAGCTGTAGTGGACTCCGAGCACTCGTGGCTGGACAATTGATTCTTAGAGTTTGAGCGTGAACTGCCCCTGTTCTTTCCTTCCCAGAGGAGCACGAAGAACTGGCAGAATTGTGGAAAGCACCTTTTTCTGCTAGAACATGGGACACCAGCTCCTCTGTCTTCACCACCTTTTACCTTGTTTACCACAAGTTTACCTTGTCTCGCGAGGGCTTACAACACCACTGGCCCGGCCACTTCCTCCAAGTCTTCCTTCCTGCAAGTCTGTTGAGAGATCTGCACTAGTGGGGTCCTGATACATGATGCGGGAACTGCAATCAGTGACCTACTACACATACGAGCAATGATGCAGGCTTTAGGTTGGTTGATGTCAAAACTCATGGTCCAAGAGTGGCACCTATAGCTTGACCTGATCAAGATGAGGGATGCAGAGAAAGCACTGCCCACCTGTCAATAGGCTACTAAGAACCATTCGGAAGGCTTCAAAGCGAACCTGAGATGGGCGACCCAGAAGATGAGAGATGGCTGATCTGCTCGCCTTAGGATTGTGGACAATTCTCACTCCCAATGGAGGCATGCAAAGGAGAGCATTTTTCTTTGGCTGCACAACACCAGGCTCCCACATGATCCGCAGAAGAGCAAGTTTCCCCTTTTGTCTGGGTCACACACATGATACTTATGGCTCTCTTTATCATGACGGCCAAGCATAAAACATTTGCTCCAGAACCTTAATGGGTGAAGAACCTTCATGAACTCTGTTCTGTTGTATCAGGTAATCGTGACAAGTTACGACTAGAATGAGAATGGCCCACAGGATTGTGGATGCGATTCTCCTGGCCTACCAAGCTCTAATGCTTATCTTGCCTCTTGGGATTGAGGACTCACTCCACTAGGGGCATTGCAGCCTTTTTGGCTCTGGGGACTGGATCCTCGATGGCATACATCTTCAGAGCTGCGGACTGGGCTACACACAACAGCTTTGCATCTTGAGTTTTGCTCCATATGTGTTGACTCCCTAACAGCGGTTCCGAATGTATTCTTCCACTGTTCGGTGTCCCTGCCGGTGAACATTGTGTCCTCCCCTGGACAAAGCTCTGCTCCGTCGCCAATCACTGTGCTCGGTAGTCTCTCCAAGTTGGTTGAGCCCACCACAGAGACTTATTCCCTAAGTAGTACTTTCCACCAGGTAACTCTATAGTTTGTATTTTCCACATACTAACTCCCCTTCTGATAGGATGTGCTCTCTATAGTCTTCCTCTCTGTAGAGAAAGAGAACGCTTCCCAACGTTAACAACCAGTTGTGCTCAACTTCAAAATGCAATGGAAAATCCCCTAGGGGCAAAGGGAGACTAGGGGTTATACCCTCTTGGCATTGGAAGGTTTTGAGTGGGTTGAGTGCACTTGTTACTTGGCATCTGCATTACCGAAGCTTGTTAGTTTTGGCTTTTATTGTAGGGACCCCTAGTGTTGCTATTTCGGCACATCAAAGAGACCAACAGATATAGGGAATGTCCTGGTTACTATTAGCCGCGTTTCTACTGCCGGGCCAGGGCCGAGCTGTGCTAGTGCGTGCCAGGGCCAGTCGCATTTCCATTGTCACTTCCGGGGCTTGATCAGGGCTCACTCGGGGCCAAAGGCCAGGATTTCTGGCCCGTCGAATACCTTGGGCCAGAGGGGGCCAGCTCGGGTTAGAGGCGTGCTCAAGGTAAAAGGCAGAGTTTATCGGTGTTATTGAACGTTACGATCTGAAGCAAGATGCACATTTCACCTTTTTATATCGCACCAAAAAATTGCTGCTCGAAATAGAGAATCGCCTGTACTGGTCTGTCGAGGATACAGCAGCTCTTCTGAGCATTTGGGCAGAAGAAAGGGTACGACGTCAAGTTGACGGCGTGTGAAGAAACGAGGATGTTACAAAATACATTGTTGCGGAACTTTCTAAGCTAAACATTCAGCGAGCAACGATTCAAGTTCAGGAAAAAATAAAAAAAAGTTGCGGGCGCAGTATTGTACAAGGTGATTAAAATGGACAAAGCGGAGTTCAGAGAAGGATTTTTCCATGGTTCGACTTGATGGACGGTGTGTGCTGGGTCACCGTCCCTCTGTTAGTGGTGACTCGCGAGACAATCGGGACAATATTGCAGCCACGGCCGGTGAGTTAATATACATGCTATCTTCCTAACTTAAAAAATAAATTAATTGATAATAACCGCTGAAATGGGTTGGGTTGTATGACGTTTGATCCAGAAAGGCGTGTTAGGGGCGGGGTTTAGGGCAGCGCTGCAGGGCTACTGGCCCGGCAGTGGAAACGCAAGCCCGGTGCTTGAGGCCCGAGGCCACTAGCTCGGCTCGGCTCCCTGTTAGCTCGGCAGTGGAAATGCGGCTAATGTAATCTCTGTTCCCTGATGGAAAGAATAAAGATGTGGTGTTCGTCCTACCACAGCTCTGAATGGATGCTGAAATGGTCGAGACGCTATCTTGGCTCCTCACAAACCTGAATGAGTGAAGCACGCCAGCCCTTTTTTTTATACCCGGATGCCCGGGGAGTGGCTGGACATGCAAATTTCAGTCGCCATTTCCATTAACCTTTTTGAATATGTCAGAGGTGTTTGGGGCTCCCAAGAGCGACTCCTAGTGTTGGTATATCGACAAATAACAGAGGTTACAATAGTTACCAAGACGTTTTGTATAATTGTTACAAGAATGATATTGATCATTGATTTTATTGATTTTTTTTCCAACTCAGGGTAGCCTTGGACACACTGGCAGCATTACTAAAGTCTGGTAAGATGGCTCCTTGGATGATTCTCACACACAAAAAAAGAACATATCAACATTATACACCAAAAAAAGATGAGAAACAAATATATTTTGCATTAAGAAAAAGAATCCCAAAAAACATGATTTGTGCATGACTTTATTTCCATAATAATTGTGCAAATTTTTATCACTAAATAAAAATCAAATTTTCATTACTGTAAAAATAATTTTATATAATGTAAATTATAAAATTATGTAATTTAAATTGACACATTTATACATTTTTGTAGTTTGTTTTACCACCTTGAAGTTATGTATTACTCTAATGAGAATAATAGGAATATTAACATTTTAGCAAAGAATGAACATTTTCCAGAATTACTTTCTAATTTATACTTAAATGATCAACCCTTTTTCAACCACAGTTTTGTATTTATTATAATATAATACAATTATACTGTTTTTATATTTATATATACATTATATTTATATATACCATGGTCTGACTGAATACTCGATTCTGATTGGCTGGAAGGTGTGCAATAAAACCGTTTAATGCACATGTCAGTTTAATCGCCTGTTTTAATTAAAGTTTTTATTTAACCACACACAAGCATATATGTGCTCACAAAATCTGCAATCACGCTGCGCACACACAAACATTCAGGACCACAGAAACTTATCAACACTGCTCTGCGACTTTTACAAAAATAAAATATCCACTACTACATTATATTTCTCAGCAACAAGGGAGTAGCATTGCTGGTTTGTCAATATAGAGAGATGATGAACAGATACAGGTAATTCACACATGCATCTATCATCCCTCTTTCTCTCTTTAATGCTATGATTCATTCATTCAAATATTGCACAGCATATATTGACACCTTTAAGTTGTCAATGCTGACAATTTAAATGACCATGCTATAAGTGGGATAATCCACAGCATTCAAATCTTTTAACGCACAGTTAGCTATGCACTTCGCGTTGGACGGTTCTTTGCCTCCACGTTGTGTTTTCAAATCTTTTAATGCACCGCTAGCTGTGGATTATCCCTTACATATTGTAATGTTTTTAAAAAATATTACAAATTTCAAATAGATGTTTTCTGTTTTACTAAATTCTAAAATGTTTAAAATGTATTTCTGCGATGCAAAGCTGAATTTTCAGCATCATTACTCCAGAAAGCTACTGTGCTTCTTAATATTTTTATGGAAACTGATATAAAAGGTTCATGATTCTCTAATGAATAGGAAGTTCAAAAGTACATCATTGTGTGTAACATTATAAATGAATTTACTGTAACTTTTGACAAGTTTAATGCATCATTGCTGAATTCATTACACATCCACATCATTAAAAATTGTAAAAAGTGTGTGTGCTTTTCAGGAATGAATGCTCGTCGCGCGGTGGACAGAGGATATCTTCCGACGCTACTTGCAATCTATCAAGATTGGCACCGCAATGACACACGTCACCGCCATGTGGTCATCCGCAAGAGCATCCTGGGATGCATCAAAAACATCACTAACATTAAGCTTGGCAGGAAGGCCTTCATAGACGCCAATGGGATGAGGATCCTTTATAACGCATCCACTGTATGAAAAAAGTGTTTTACTTTCATTTTTATATCATTGGAATGTGCCAAACAGCTTCTCCACAGTATAAAGATGTATTACTGTGATATGTTCAGGAGTGCCTGCCCGTCCGGACACTAGATCCACTGGTCAATACCTCCAGCCTAATTATGAGGAAGTGCTTTCCAAAGAACCGCCTCCCACTGCCTACCATTAAAAGTGTCTTTCTCCACCCGCTGCCACACGTCCCCGCTGGTGGACCAGTGGCGCAGCTGTACAACCAGCCGCCAGGAGGTAAAACACACTCACAGCTGTCAGAGGAGTGCCGTTTTTATTTGTCTTTGTGCATGATAATTCTGATGCACCATAGTTATTGTCTTTACTGTTGTTATTGTGGATGATTGATCAATCCTCAATGGATAAAACCAAAAGTGTCAGTGTTGTTTGTTTGGTGTAGCGTCATTGGTAAGAGATCTCTCTGTCTTCTGTGTTAGTGGATGATGTGGTTGATGAGAGCGATGAGAATGAAGCTACGGAGGTCGACACAGAAAATGACACAGAAAATGAGGAGGATGAAAGCGGTCACAAAACACAGGTAACAATGGTCTCATTAAACTTCACTAAGATTCTAGGGATCAAATGATGTGGGTATTTTAATAGCTGATACCAATATGTAGAGAACTAATCTAATATTTATATGGGTCAAATGCCATGTTTCCCCTGTTATATATTGCAATTTTTCACCCTAATTCTGATTATTGTAGTAATTAAATAATAGAATTGATCATTGTAGCCCTCAAACCATATTCACGTTATAGCCCTTAATCCTGTAATTGTGGAAAAATGTGGGCACAGAGTACTCAGGTGTGATCCTAATTTGTATTTATTATAAATGTTATTATCACTGTCTTCGATAAAGTTTTGTCTATCCATTTATGGTGTTTTTTTATTTTATTTTGGGGGTATTTTTGAAGTTATTTACTTTGAAATGTACCATATTTTATGGTACTTTTTTGGTACTTTTTGTACCATAAATTATGCTTATTTTTATGTTTTATTTTTTTTAAATTTTTCAACAACATTAAAATATCATTCCAATAAGTTCTTAGAGCTAAAACCTAAAGGTGAAGTGACTTTGCTGTCACCTGGTGTCTTATTTTGGCTTATTTTAGAATGCTCTAAATTACAATTTTTCCCATTTATTTCTGCCCATTTTTGACCCAAATACAAGATTAAGGAGTTTTTTTTCACCCTATTAACATTGTAGAATTGAGACAAAAAAAACAAAACAATTGAGTGTGTTCAGGAGGTAAACTTAGGAAAAGTAGCCAACTCTTGTACCGCTCAGATCAAGGAAAGTATTTTTTTAAAAATAAATAAATCCAGAATACGGTTTTGGGGTTAATTTCACAGATGCATTACAAATAGTTTAACAAAATCGAATGAGATTGGTGTTATTTTAATATTATTTATATACTCTTTTAGTATTTATTAATACTCTGAATTAGCTTTTATTATGTGTTTAATTTTTGTTAATACATTTTTAATTTTTTTTTTAAATTCACCCTTATCAAATCACATTATAAATTATTTATATATATTTATAAATTACTATTAAATATTAAATAATTGTATAAATAATAAATTACTTTCTGGTAATTCATTTAAAGTAATTAAAGCAATTTCATTTTACATTTTAGTAACTTTAGTAAGTTTTTTTTACATATACATTTATCTTTTTTTTTGTTATTTCAGTTTCAGTTTTAGATACTTTTATACTTGAATTTACAGTATTTATTTTCGATAGTTGCCAAGGCAACAAGTTTTTCATCTAATATTTACAGATTATCATGTTAATGCAATCCTATCCAATGAATACTTGTCTCTCCTCATTGGCCTAAATGAGGGTTCGGAATATTTGTAAAAAGAGCGATCAAAGTTCTGGAATACTGATGTTGATCAGATTTGTTATGCACCACAGAATGACGACATAGAGACGGATATCAACAAACTGCGGCCCAGACAGATCAACACGCGTCCGTTTGATGAGCTCAGAGTCTACGAGCATTTCTGTCGGGAATTCACAGAGAATTTTGAGGTGAGAACATTTCTGATTAACTGGTGAAAGGTCAATAAAAATGCACGTAAATAAAAAATGACAATAATCAGCAGGTACAAAAATACTTGACTTGCTTTTAAGAACTTTTGGAGCGCAATTGTCGTGTTCATCTATGCCTAAACGAACCAAACTAAGGTAGAAAACGCATCAGGTTCCAAAACAAACACGTGCCAGGTGTGAAAATGACCTTAATAAACAGGGAAGATCACTGTTTCTGTTTTGTTTGCAGGAGAATGACTTTGAAAGCCCCAGATCTTTCATTTCTCTATCAAGCGTCAACTCAGAGCTTCATCATGGTCCCATTATCATTCCCACCACGCCGACATCCTTGGGGCCTCAGGGAGACGTTCTGCTGCCCAACTCGGATAGATCATCTCTGGAGCTGGACAGCATCTCTATATCAAAAAAACCAGACGGCAAATCGGACTGCGATCTGGTCTTTAGTTTGGGTCGTCTGGTTCTAGATGGTGCCGTGAATGGAGGCTCTGGGGATGGGTCTCAAGATGAGGGCGGGGAACCGACGGATCTCGAAGTTCCAGATACAGCGGCACTGCTGCCACTGCATGACCCTGACCTCTACTTGGAGATGGTGAAGAGCACAAGCTCGGTGCCTGCCTACACAGAGGTGGCGTACCCAGATTACTTTGGGCATGTGGCACTCAACCTCCGCGAGCCCATTCTAGAGAGGGTTTATGGTGTGCAGAGGTACTTAACAAATGTTTGACTTTTTTTTTGCTGTGAAATATGGTACTTGAAAGGGTCAACAAAACCTCAAATTTCTGTGGAATTCAGTTATGTTATTCCAAACCCACTGGAGTGGAGCACTAAAGGAGATGTTAATGTTCACGCTGCTCTTGTCCATACAACAAAAGCCATGGACTTTCAAGCAAGCTCCAAAAACACCATAAAAGCATGATTAAAGTGTCTTGTGAACTATATTCCAAATCTTCTGAAGACATATGAAAGTTTTATGTGACTATCAAGCCGACATTTTAAGTTATCAATTTAAAGGGATTATTCACTTAGAAATTCATTTTTGGTATGTTTTAGCTTACCTCAAGGGCATCCAAGATGTAGGTGTAGGTGGTTTCGGCAGTAGTTTCATTTTTTATATTTTTAGGTCAAACCGGTTGTGTCTATCAGTCATATAATGGAGGTCTATGGTCACCACCTCAAAGAGCATGCTCAGAGAAGTCCAAATTAAACATGATTTAATGACTGATAGATGTAAGTACACATTGATGGCCTAAGACACGAAACGAGCGATTTGTGTGAGAAAACGAACAGTATTTATATAATTTTTACCTCTTGTTACCACAAAGCGCCCACACCCTTAGATCACTTGGATGTGGCTGTGGTTACAAAAGGTAAAAACGATATAAATTCTGTTAGTTTTTTCTCACAGAGACCGCTTGTTTTGTGTCTTAGGCCATCAATGTGTACTTACAGTTACGAGTCATTAAATCATGTTTAATTTGGACTTCTCTGTGCATGCTCTTTGAGGTGGTGACCATAGACCTCCATTATATGACTGATAGACACAACCAGTTTGACCTAAAAATATAAAAATTGAAAATACTGTGGAAACAAAGACACGTACATCTTGGATGCCCTTGAGGTAATCTAAAACATACCAAAAATTAATTTCAAAGAGAACTATCCCTTTAACTCGCTGAATGTTTTGAGTGGAAAAGAACGTTATTCAGAATATTACAGAAGAAACAAAATTAGTAAGTTAATGATAACAGAACCATTCCACTAAGACATTCTTTTTTTTTCAACAGAATGAAGATCTTCCAGGATATTGAGAGGCTCATTCACCCCAGTGACATCATCGATAAAGTTGTATATGACTTGGACAATCAGAGGTCAGTGTGAAACTTCTGCTCAAAACTTGTAATGAAATTTCATAGTCCTAATAGCTTTTGATTTATTTTGCCTATTTTTAATGAAAGCGGTCTTGGTACATTTCCCTGAAAATAATTGCACACCTTTGAACGTTTGTATATCAATCAGATTCAAGCATTCATTAGCTCTGTACTATAACAGAGATTTATTTGATCATCTGGTATATAACGGCCAACACTGGTTGAAGCTGGAAAAAAAACTGTATTAATGAACCAAAACTTTTTAATATATCTGTTAGATTCCTTTTTATAACTAATTGCTCAGGTTTATGGAATCTCACAGATATGACCACATTTATTGTTTAATACACACCCAGACTGTCTTTGTTTTTTTGTTTTTTTATTCTAAATATGTGAATCAAGTTAAATTTATTTGTCTTTTCAGTTGTCCAGTTATTGACAATGGGGAGTCTCTCAAGTTCAACTCTAAATTTGAGTCTGGAAACCTACGGAAAGCAATGCAAGTCAGAAAGTACGTGCAGAATAAGCATTTTTGTTATTGTTGAATACATTTGCTTTTCATAAAATGAAGCCGTTTCTTATTTTTCTGTTCTGTCTATTGCCTTTTTCTATCGGCAGGTTTGAGTATGACTTGATCTTGAACTCGGACATCAATAGTAATCACTATCACCAGTGGTTCTATTTCGAGGTGGGCAATATGCGCCCTGGAGTTCGTTACCGATTCAATATAATCAACTGTGAGAAGTCTAACAGCCAATTCAATTACGGTGGGTCATTTCAAGCATTAGTCCAGAAACGCAGTCTATCTCCATTCACATCTGTGTTTGTGTACTAGAGTAGTTTCATACAAATGTCTGTGCCATTAAACTGGATTATTAAAGGCATAGTTCACTTTGAAATTAACTTTTCGGTATGTTTTAGCTTACCTCGAGGTTATCCAAGATGTAGGTGTCTTTGTTTTCGCAGTAGTTTCAGTTTTGATATTTTTAGGTCAAACCGTTCGTGTCTATCAGTCATATAATGCAGGTCTATGGTCACCACCTCAAAGAGCATGCACAGAGAAGTCCAAATTAAACATGATTTAATGACTTGTGAATGTAAGTACACATTGATGGCCTAAGCCACAAAACGAGCGGTTTGTGTGAGAAAATGAACAGTATTTATATTCTTTTAGCTCTTGTTAACACAGCCATAAAGCACCCGCGCCCTCAGATCACTTTGACGTGGCTGTGGTTACAAGAGGTAAAAACGGTATAAATACTGTTCGTTCTTAGGCCATCAATGTGTACTTACATTTACGAGTCATTAAAATGTGCATGCTCTTTGAGGTGGTGACCATAGACCTCCATTATATGACTGACAGACAAGAACGGTTTGACCTAAAAATATTCAAATTTAAACTACTGCGGAAACAAAGACACCTACATCTTGGATGCCCTTGAGGTAAGCTAAAACATAGCAAAAATGAATTTCAAAGTGAACTATCCCTTTAAGTCAGTGGTTCTCAAAGTGGGGTCCGCGGACCCCTGGGGGTCCGCGAGCTAAAGCCAGGGGGTCCGCGAAATAATTTACAACCTAACGTTTTTTTCCATGCTATAAGTCATGTTTTCTTTATCATCTGAAAACATGCTGTTTATTCCTAAGTAACTTATATAAAGCATTTAACATAAAACAATACAAAGTAGACACTTAAAGTTTTCTATAGATAGATAATCTATGTCTTTGCGTCAAGTAGATTCGCTGCTGTTGATTTTGCGGGACGTGCGCCAGAAAGGGGACAGAGAGACGGCATGAACCCGCATCCGGTTCTTTTCTGTATTTTTAAAAGGCATGACATTTTGTAGTCATTTATAATGTAGCCTATACACAAATAAAAAATGGACACTTTACCGTTTCGGATGATGCACTCTTGTCTTATCTATGACCATAAATAAGAGTATTCCTGTTTCCACTGCTGAGGAAAAATTCCCATGTAATTGCGCGCCGGCGTCTCGCGTGCGCGCACAATAGTCAGTTCTAGCACTGCTAGATTTGACATTAGAAGTCTGATCATTATCAAAATAAAAGTGCATAGTGACAGGGCCGTACCCACAATTGAGGTTGCAAGGATGCACATCGCGATGATACTGACCTTCTCGTCTGAGGTGCTTCAGCAGACTAACAACGATAGCTCGTCAATGTCAAAATGTTTGAGTCGGAGTGAACTCAAAGTTCCCCGCACGACGTTTCAGTCAACGGTCATAAAGTGCGAGATAAGATGTAGGCCTTAATTAACATAAACTAAACAGCTGTTTTAGATAAAAGTTTTAAAAAACGACTGAAACAATCAGTTTGCAAAGTATTAATCAAGCTCAACTTTAACAAAGGAAAAAGCAGGTCAATAGAAACATACTGTGTGCCCATGAGATTAACATTATGGATTCATATATTTAACATATACTGTATGTTTTTTTTAGCTAATTACAGTAGCTCAAATTAACAACGCACGCACCTATTAAACATAATGCCATTATCATTGTATTTATAGGCTTATGGGCTTTATTTGTGTGCAGAATAGGCCTAATTATTGAAACATTTCTCTTTTAAGGCCATTCCTGATTGGAATATGTGATTGTGTTTCGTGACATCTTGACAAAAAAAAAAAAGTATGCCACTGACTGACATGCTTCTACTAAATCTATAGTTATCCAATTGTGGGGCCTTAAAACACCTTAAAATGCACATGTGTAGATCAAGAACATCAAAAATTCCTAAGTGAGGGATCCTAAGTGATTCCTAGCAAGATCACTTTCGTTACCTCAGTAGACTATTTAGAAATTCCTGCATAGTACCCTGGGTGGAGACCATTCATTTTGTGCAAAAATATTTCATTTGCCGCTCACACATTAACTTTGTGCTCAATAACTGTTATAAATATGAGGGGGGTCCTTGGAATTTTTTTTCCCCTGAAAGGGGTCCCTGGCACCAAAATGTTTGAGAACCCCTGCTTTAAGTAACCCAGTACTAAAGTACTAAGTGTTATGAATTGTGCTAGAGCTAGAGTATGTTTGGATGTTTTATAGTATTTAGCTACTTAAATGTACTTAGTCAACCCATCTCTAGCCATCTTTAGAGTGAGAGTGTGATTGTCTGGTTTTTCCTGATGTGACAGGTATGCAGGTGCTCATGTACTCCGTACAGGATGCCATCAACGGCAGGCCCCAATGGGTTAGAACAGGATCAGACATCTGCTACTACAAGTTAGTACCATCCTTTTATGTTGAATGTCATTGTATTATAGTCTGTAAAATGACTTTGATTTGTGGGTCGTCATGCATTGACCTCCATTCTTATCATCTAGGAATCATTTCTCACGAAGCTCCATTGCAGCCGGAGGGCAAAAGGGCAAATCATACTTCACCATGACCTTCACTGTGACCTTTCAGCATAAAGATGATGTTTGCTACTTTGCCTATCATTATCCATACACCTACTCGATGCTAAAGGTACTATACAAATGTACAGTGCCCTCCTTTAATTGATGCAACAGTTTATGCACAGAAATACCTGAATGTGTCTTATCAAGAAGCACATTAGTGTAAGTAGTATTCCTCACATACTAAAATTATGTACTTTGCTGGTTACAGTTGTACTTTGACTATATAGTATGACAGTTTGTAGTACAAATGTAGTATGACCGGTACATAAAGTTGGGTCTTATATAACTGAATACATACTGTACATCATTTACCACACAAAAAAGCATTTGTTAAACCAGTCGCCAACTGGTAGATTGAGTTGGTCATTGTGGAAATGATCCGGCTGTGGTCAGTAGATCATGCGCAGAACTTTTAAACTTCCATTTGTGCTGTTTTGGAATTGCCCACTCACACTAATTTCCCCTGTTTAGTAAATCTGCCCCAAATGGCTTAATATTTTCAGTAAACCTTGATTTTACCATCATCCTAATCTTGCATGATATATAGTAGGATTCAGTTTGATTTTGTTCCTCGTTTGTTTAGATGCATCTGCAGAAGTTGAGTGCTTTGAGTACTCCTCAGATCTACTACAGACAGGAGGATCTGTGTGAAACGCTGGGAGGAAACGGCTGTCCCCTGCTCACCATCACAGCCATGCCAGAATCCTCCAGCGATGACCATATCAGCCAGTTTAGTATGTAACACACACACACACACAGGAACATCACTGATAAACATACAGCCATAGCAATCAGTTTAGTGCAGGGGTTCCTGTAAGACCACAGCCCTGCAGGGTTTAGCTTCAACCCTAATTTGACAGACCTGGTCCAGCGAATCAAGTCCTTCAGGCTTATTTATATTCTTATATTCTCACATGCATGCTCATGCACTCACTCCCATGATCTCTCTCACGTGTCCTCATGCACTCTAATGAACTCTCTTATATGATTCCTCATGCACACTCACATGCACTCTCTCTGAGCACGCTCACATGTTTTCACTCTTATGAACACTCGCATGCACTCTCTCTAATGAACATGATCACATGCGTCCTCATGCACGCTCACATGCATTCTCACATGCACTCTCTCTAATGAACACGTTCACATGCATCGACTCATGAACACACTCGCTTGTGTCCTCATGCACGCTCAACATGCACTCTCTGATGAACACTCACATTTATGCTCACATGCACTCTTGTGAACGTGGTCACATGTGTTCTTATGCATGCTCACATGCACTCTCTCTGATAAACACTCACATGCATGCTCACATGCACTCTCGGAAACGCGGTAACGTGTTCTTATGCATGCTCACATGCACTTTCTCTGATGAACACTCACATGCACTCTCAGAAACACGGTAACGTGTTCTTATACATGCTCACATGCACTCTCTGATGAACACTCACATGCATGCTCACATGCACTCTCGTGAACACGGTCACATGTGTTCTTATGCATGCTCACATGCACTCTCCCTGATGATCACTCACATGCATGCTCACATGCACTCTCGTGAACATGTTCACATGTGTTCTTATCAGTGTTGGGAGTAACGCATTACAAAAGTAATACATTACAGTAACATATTACTTTTTGCTGTAACGCAGTAGTGTAAGGCATTACTAATCAATTTTCAGTAATATTTTACTCGTTACATGTTCAGTGAGGCTTGTATTACAGTTGTATTACAGTGTATTGTCTGCTTTTACTTCTTAAAGGCAACAGACTATGTGAAAGTTTTAAAGCAGACTTTTAGTGCCAGTTCAGAGCGGTCGCGTCTGTAACATTGTTTTTTCCTCATAAATGCGAACACGAAAACTAAAATAAAATGAATATTTTAAGTTCTATGGAGACTGGAGAGCCAACCCTTCCTCATCCGATTTGCGCAGTGTAATTAACAGAATTACAAAAAATATATTTTGCCTCCTATTTTTTTTGTCACGCATAAATGTGTGTCTTTTCCCTAATATTAAAAATAAAACATAGACTGATATTTGTCTAATGTCTGGAGTCCTTTAAGGAAGTAGCCTATATACTATTGTAGTTTCAATACATGTATTTTCTGAGAATTTTTATTTCAAGTTTTGACTGCAAATGTCATGTCCATAATGCTGGACTTCCCCAATTTTAAATAATTTATCCTCAACTAGTTTTGTGGTGTAGGTCTACGTATTTTATAATGTTAACTTCAAATAATACTAATAGCCTAATTTAAAGATAAGGCAGCATTGGATCTGGACGGTAAGGAGAATAACGCTGGAGTTGGAAGAGGTGTGTCGCGATTCTGTAGGTTCGTGGATCTGAGTCGTGTGGCGAATCGCGATTTCGGTTTCATATTGCATATCGTTACAGCCCAAAGTTAAGTTCTACTTAGTTATTTTGGTGAAAGTAACTCAAAAGTAATACATGAGTAATGTAACGCATTACAATTCTGGGACAGTAATATTGTAAGGTAATGAATTACTTTTAAATAACAGTAACAAGTAATACCTAATGTATTACAGTTTCGAAGTAACTTGCACAACACTGGTTCTTATGCATGCTCACATGCACTCTCTGATGAACACTCACATTTATGCTCACATGCACTCTTGTGAACGCGGTCACATGTGTTCTTATGCATGCTCACATGCACTCTCTCTGATAAACACTCACATGCATGCTCACATGCACTCTCGGAAACGCGGTAACGTGTTCTTATGCATGCTCACATGCACTTTCTCTGATGAACACTCACATGCACTCTCAGAAACACGGTAACGTGTTCTTATACATGCTCACATGCACTCTCTGATGAACACTCACATGCATGCTCACATGCACTCTCGTGAACACGGTCACATGTGTTCTTATGCATGCTCACATGCACTCTCCCTGATGATCACTCACATGCATGCTCACATGCACTCTCGTGAACATGTTCACATGTGTTCTTATGCATGCTCACATGCACTCTCGTGAACACGGTCACATGTGTTCTTATGCATGCTCACATGCACTCTCCCTGATGATCACTCACATGCATGCTCACATGCACTCTCGTGAACATGTTCACATGTGTTCTTATGCATGCTCACATGTTCTCTTGTGAACGTGGTCACGTGTTCTTATGCATGCTCACATGCACTCTCTCTGATGAACGCTCACATGCATGCTCACATGCACTCTCGTGAACGCGGTCACGTGTTCTTATGCATGCTCACATGCACTTTCTCTGATGAACACTCACATGCACTCTCAGAAACACGGTAACGTGTTCTTATGTATGCTCACATGCACTCTCTGATGAACACTCACATGCATGCTCACATGCACTCTTGTGAACGTGGTCACGTGTTCTTATGCATGCTCACATGCACTCTCTCTGATGAACGCTCACATGCATGCTCACATGCACTCTCGGAAACGCGGTAACGTGTTCTTATGCATGCTCACATGCACTTTCTCTGATGAACACTCACATGCACTCTCAGAAACACGGTAACGTGTTCTTATGTATGCTCACATGCACTCTCTGATGAACACTCACATGCATGCTCACATGCACTCTCGTGAACACGGTCACATGTGTTCTTATGCATGCTCACATGCACTCTCCCTGATGATCACTCACATGCATGCTCACATGCACTCTCGTGAACATGTTCACATGTGTTCTTATGCATGCTCACATGCACTCTTGTGAACGTGGTCACGTGTTCTTATGCATGCTCACATGCACTCTCTCTGATGAACGCTCACATGCACTCGCCAGTGTGATGCCCCATCTGCACAACTGGGGTTTAAACCCTGCTAGCGTCTTCTGCTAGTTAGCGATGCATTAAAGAACTATATCAACAATTAAACAACAGTTTGGAGATTGAAATAATATCGAATTGTCTAATTTTAAATAAACACAAAAATAGAGATGAAAAATGAACTCAAGTAAGAAATGTACTTTTGCTATGGTTAAAGGATTAGTTCACTTTTGAAAAAACTTTTGCTGATAATTTACTCACCCCCATGTCATCCAAGATGTCCATGTCTTTCTTTCCTCAGTCGAAAAGAAATTAAGGTTTTTGATGAAAACATTCCAGGATTTTTCTCCATATAATGGACTTCTATTGTAAAGCTACATTGTTAAACACTTCACTTAAAATATCTATATGAATTTCTTAGAATTTGTATTGAATTGCAATTCTGCTTCCTTTAATTCAAATTCGAATTGTAATTCTAGATCCTGTTTTTGACATCAATTCAAATTCAAGAATTGAATTGGAATTTAGAAGTCATTCTCAATTCAATTCTGAACTGTGCACAAGCCTGATGCTCACATGCACTCTCGGGAACACGGTCACATGTGTTCTTATGCATGCTCACATGCATGCTCACATACATTCCCGTGAACGCGGTCACATTTGTTCTTATGCATGGTCACATACACTCACATGCACTCACTCTCATGAACGCTCTCACATGCGCATGCTCAAATACACTTTCTAATATACGTACGCACTCATTTGCGCTCCCATACAACACACGAGTGTCACGAACACTGTCATGCACTTTTGCATGCCCGCTGACGTACATGCATGCAGTCACATGCTCACACTAATGCACGCTACCAAGCGCTCACATTCACCTTTTTTGGCTCTCTCACATACATGCTGTCATGCAATTTTGCATGCTCTCTCATTCACATGGATGCTAGTTCGATTGTTATTTCCACCTCTCATGATGCACGCATTGTTGAAAGCACATGCTTACGTGTGCTGTTACATGCACCTTAGCAGCACTCCCTGCGCATGAACTCACTCAGACAATAATGTGATTGTCGTTTCAGTCTCTGTGAATGAGTGCGACTCGCTCAGCAATGCTGTAATGTGTGTGTTTGTAGGAAGCCGTCCAGTGGTGTTTCTGTCTGCGCGGGTGCATCCCGGAGAGACTAACTCTAGCTGGGTGATGAAGGGCACTCTGGAGTTTCTCATGAGCTGCAGTCCTCAAGCCCAAAGTCTACGAGAGAGCTACATCTTCAAAGTCATCCCCATGCTCAACCCTGACGGGGTCATCAACGGAAAGTATGTCGGCAAACAACAAAATCACCTCCACCACGATTTGTATTATCATTATGTTATTTTAAAAACAAATGTACGACATGTACAGTGGTATGAATAAGTTTTGGCACCCATGCTAAAGTTGCCTAAAAAGAGGAATAAAAAATCATCTTTTGGATATTGATTTTAATGCCTTAATTAGAAAAATGAGGAAAACTCCAACCTTTAAGGACACCAATTTTCTTTGTGAATGAATAATGTATCATAAATAAATAAATGTTTTTCCTTAAAATACAGGGTGCATAAGTCAGGACACCCCTATGTTAAATTCCCATAGAGTCAGGCAGATTTTTATTTTTAAAAGCCAGTTATTTCATGGATCCAGGATAATATGCATCCTGATAAAGTTCCCTTGGCCTTTGGAATTAAAATATCCCCACACCTTCCACCACACCTAGAGATTGGCACGGTTTTACTTCAGTTAGCCTAATAGCTGGTTTGATTTGCATTGAAAGATGATCTTATGGAAAGTACCCCATGCCAATCTCTAGGTGTGGTGGAAGGTGTGTGATGATGTGGGGATATTTTAATTCCAAAGACCAAGGGAACTTTATCAGGATGCATATTATCCTGGATCCATGAAATAACTGGCTTTTAAAAATAAAAATCTGCCTGACTCTATGGGAATTTAACATAGGGGTGCCCAGACTTATGCTCCCTGTATTTTAAGGAAAAACATTTATTTATTTATGATACATTATTCATTCACAAAGAAAATTGGTGTCCTTAAAGGTTGGAGTTTTCCTCATTTTTCTAATTTAGGCATTAAGATCAATATCCAAAAGATGATTTTTTATTCCTCTTTTTAGGCTACTTTAGCATGGGTGCCATTGTATATGGGCAGGAAAATATACTGCATTTTAAAAACGATGCAGATATTATGATACTGTTTGCTAACACTCTTATGTTATCACACAGTGTTACCAATATTAAAAACTGCAATACTTCATCTGTAATCGGTAACACTTTACAATAAGGTTCATTTATTAAACATTAGTTAATGTATTAACTAACATGAACTAACCATGATCAATACATTTGTTACTGTTTTTAATACAAATACAGCTGTTCATTGTTAGTTCATGTTAATTCACAGTGCATTAACTAATGTCAACAAGATTTGAATGAAGTATTAGTAAATGTTGAAATTAACATTAACTAAGAGTGAACAATACTTCTTCGGCATTTGTTAATCTTTGTTAATGTAGTTAACTAATGAACCTTATTGTAAAGTGTTACCCAATCTTCTTCATGGTCACGTTGCAGTCATCGTTGTTCTCTGAGTGGGGAGGATCTGAACAGACAGTGGCAGAACCCCAACATCGAGCTTCATCCCACCATCTACCACTCCAAGAGTCTCCTGCAGTACCTCAGAGCTACAGGAAGAACTCCACTGGTGAGAGAGCGTCATGTTGTCGATGAGAGAACCCGGTGGAAACTGTGTAATGACACCAGCAGAGTGTGTTTGTCTGTTTAGGTGTTCTGCGACTATCACGGCCATTCACGGAAGAAGAATGTTTTCATGTACGGCTGTAGTATTAAGGAGACGGTGTGGCAGACCAATATTAACACCAGCACTGTTGACGTACAAGAGGACTTTGGATACAGGGTAACACATCTGCACACTTTATATACTCATCTTTTATTGGCAGGGAGAGAAAAAAATGGGTTATTCACATGTATGGCCCTCATTAAAGGAGTAGTTCACTTTTAAAAAAAACTTGTGCTGATAATTTACTCACCCCCATGTCATCCAAGATGTCCATGTCATTCTTTCTTCAGTCGAAAAGAAATTAAGGTTTTTGATGAAAACATTCCAGCATTTTTCTACATATAATGAACTTCAATGGGAACCAAACGGTTCAAAGTCCAAATGAGAGTTTCACTGCAAACTGTTCAAAGGGATTTAAACGACTCCAGACGATGAATAAGGGTCTTATCAAGTGAAATGATCGCTCATTTAATAAATAAATAACAAAGTTTAAGTTTTATAAGCTCAAATGCTCGCCTTGCTCTGTTCTGTGATGCATGTTCATGACTCTCATGTTCGAACTCGTTCAACAAAATGAGTCAGTTCGTTTGTTTCGTTCATTGAATGAACCAAATGACTCGGAAAAAGATTCGTTCATTTTGATGAACGACTTCGAACAGGAGAGTCACAAATCAGCCTTGAATCAACCAGTTTGCAGTTTGTACTGAAAGTGTCTTTTGGACATTGAACTGTTTGGTTCCCATTGAAGTCCATTATATGGAGAAATATACTGGAATGTTTTCTTTAAAAACCTTAATTTCTTTTCGACTGAAGAAAGAATGACGTGGACATCTTGGATGACATGGAGGTGAGTAAATTGTCAGCAAAAGTTTTTTCAAAAGTGAACTAATCCTTTAATCTTCTTTTCTCAGAAGAACAAAAGATATGATTTCGAAATGTCATGAAGTTGAGTTGTAATGTTTTTGGGACGATTATTCTTTTAAAGAGGACCTATTATGTCACTTTAGTCTCAATATTGTTTTGGGGCTCTAGAATAGGTTTTCATGGATAAATGTTGATAAAAAATGTAACGGGTTAAATCAGATGTGTTTGATTAGGAAGAGTTTGATGTGTGGTGTTGGTGTGGGGAAACACTGATATAGAGAATAAATCCTATTTGAGTGACTTTGTGCTTTGGAAATTTGAAGAGTCATTACACACTAAAGAGGAACTATTATGCTTTTTGACATGTTCAACATTCTTTAAGTTAGCAATAACAGTTACACTTTATTTCGATAGTCACTTTAGATGTTAAGTAACTTTCAACTACATGTCAACTAACTCTCATTAGAGTATTAGTATATTATAGTAGACTGTTAGATTACGGTTAGGTTTTAGGCTTTAGGTTAGGAGAATAAGTTTACTTGTAGTCGCCAAGTTACTTTTAGTCAGTTGAATGTCTGTCGGGGGACCAACAAAATAAAGTGTTAGCAGATATTAAGCTGACAGTCTACTAATACTCTAATGACAGTTAGTTGACATGTAGTTGAAAAGTTACTTATAGTTTGTAGAATGTCTGAAGTGGACTATCAAAATAAAGTGTTACCGCAATAAGGTACGAGAGGCTGTGCTGTATCGTGAATATGGCTGAAGGGCGTTGTTAGTGGAGTAACCCCTTCAGCCGTTACTTATTCACGATACGGCACTTGCCTAGAGTACCTTATTGCTTTTATAAAACGGTTACCACACAATAGAAATATGAAAGTGAAAAAAAATATGTATTAGTGCAACTTTCATGAAGTAAAATCACTAAAAGCCTTCCTTCCGCTAGAAAAAAAATAGTCCCTGACCGTGAACAGCGACAACGTTCCAGTGTGTAATATGCATGAAACCTCAATTAAAAACAACTTAAGAACTGCAGTGTCGCACAGTGATACATAGAACCGTTGGGTGAAGCGGTCATAGCCGTGTTTTATCATGAATAAAGCACAGCTATTGACCAATCAGAACCAAGAATGGAACTAACCGTTTTATAAAGGCAGCATAAAACAGTCTGAAAAAGTGTTGATTTGTTCACGTAAATGCCACTTCTCGTGTGTTTTAGACTCTGCCTAAGCTGCTGTCTCAGATGGCTCCAGCGTTCAGCCTGTCCAGCTGCAGTTTTGTAGTCGAGCGCTCTAAAGAAGCCACGGCGCGCGTGGTGGTCTGGAGAGAGATCGGAGTGCAGCGCAGTTACACCATGGAGAGCACCCTGTGTGGCTGTGACCAGGGCAAATACAAGGTGAGGGCTGGGTAGTTTTACACAAACTTACCATATGCCTGGTTCGGATTTAGGGTGACCACCCGTCCCGCGTAGCGCGTGCGCGCACAGCGTTTGAAGCCCAATTAATGCGTACCGCAAATTGAGACCGCGTCACGCATAATCAATGCTTGCTCAAAAAAACAGTCGGTCACTCTTTATCCTCGAGACGCAGGCAGCCAAACGTTGTGCCTGAACACGTTCACGTTCATGAACTTGTTCATATTTTGGGTGAACTGAAAGTATTGTTTAACTGCCTGTCCTGGTGAACGTGTGAACTCGTTCATTCTGGTGTCTCTGAACGCACGCTCTCTCAGTTTAACTTCGTTCAATGGGGTGCCAGATTTCTATTCGGTTGTTAAGTCTGACGTCACGCGTGACGTTTAGCCTCTTCCGGGTCCAAGCGCTCCGCTCGTCCATATCTTAACGTTACAACCCATAACGTTAGACTAAGCCCTTTTCTTAAAGGACTGGCTTCGCTTCAGCGCCAGTGGGTGTTAGGGATAAAGGAAAGAATTGTAACTTACCTTATCAACTGCAGCCATTTTCTCTTTTCTTTCTCGTCACAGGGAAAGCGGTAGAATGACAGTTGAATGTCACTTGTTTTTTTTAACTCCGATCTATTTAAACAACATGGGACACAGCACTGCGGCATGTTAAAACTCGGGCAAAAGCGGTAAGCATATAGAGAGGACCCAGCATTTGGACCCGGAAACAGTATTATCAGAGCGTGATTACGTCACAACTTAACAACCGAATAGAGCCTTCCAGGCGAAAACCCTGCTAAAACTCACCCTAAACAGGGCTCAATATGTAGCGAAAAAACACCCAATCTGGCAACACAAGCCACCAGTGTCGCACCGCGGCCGCCGTCGACAAAGTCATCATATGATCATTTAAACGGATTTTTTAACGAGGTCGGTGAAGATGGGAAAAATCTTACATTTCTGTGCAAACTTGAACTGAACTAGTTCATTTTGTAGAAAGTGAACTTCATCAAGACTGGTTGCCACTCCCACGTGACCTGCTGACTAGGTTGATGTCAACTTTTTCATTGTTGTCATGACAGCGCAGCTTCTCGTTCCGTGAACCTCTGGAGTTGTGAGTTTAGACTTTTTTTCGACTTTTTTTAAACTGTTCCTGTGGTGTTGAGCAACTATAATTCCTGTTAATCCTATAATTTTATACTTTTATTGATTTAAAGTGAATTAATTGTAATAAAAAATAAATAAAATTAAATAGCTAAAGTAAATCGTAAGTGGAAGTGCTGTCAATTCATTGAATGTTCAAAATATTCATCTTTATTTAGAAAACAAATACACATTGGTTGGCCTATCATGAGCATCAGCATATAGCCTATCAGCAATTACACATGTTTAGGGAATAGGGCATTATTAATGTATGTGCTAAGGTATGTGCTTTTTTTTTAACAATTATTCATGTGCAAACAGTAAGGCAATAGTAACAATTCTAGATATGGGTAAACCACTATCAGAGTCTGCCCGTGGGGTGGGGGCACCGGCGCGCCAAGCAGTGTCCCACATTGTCCCTCAGAAACATACCCCTTGTCCCCCCTTGGGCTTATTAGCAGGTGGTCACCCTATTCGGATTACACTATTTTTTTTTGTCTGTTACGATAGTCACTGTGTCAGATTGCGCGATTCTGACTCCTAAAATCTTGGTCAAGACACATGTCAGACTACACGTTGCTTCCTGACCAGTCATCGCATGCCGTCTTTAACGTCATCGACAAGGCGAAACTAGTAGCGAGTGACTTCCGGAAACGAACGTTAACAAACAATGGATGAAGCGGTGAGTGTTCTATTCAGAAAAAAGTAAAAAAAGAAAGAAAACCAGACAATGGACACGTTCCTGGATTGCTCGAAGAGGACAGTGTGGGCTGTCAATCCTCCAAAGAGAACTTGAGGTAAAATATTGTTTTCTTTTATATTTTTACTTTTAGTTTTAACGTTAGCACCATCGTCTCTCTTTCGTTTCGCCATTTTTGAAAGTTGTGTACGGAAAAGCTTCTGTGCTCCTATTGGTCAACCTCATACATGTGACGGAACCGTCGTGGACGACCGTTAAAAAAATTAAACGTGCTAGTTTTTTTGTCGTGATGTCGTGAATTATCGCAGACACGACGTAGGTTGTAGCCCACTATGATGATACGATCGAATCTTGCGTCCCGACGCCTGTTGTCGTTTACGAATCCCCACGACACCCTACGTCAAACGGATCGTGCCAAAATCGGGCTAAAATCGTGTAATCTGAACCAGGCATTAAAGTGAAACTTCAGGATTTAGCATTAAGCTTTGTATTAGTTGAAAACATGTAGTATTTTTTTTAAATGACCGTGTTTTCCACCCTCATATCCCCCTGAGACGAGAGATTTATGTATTTTTTCTCTGGAAAAAAATCCTCTGATGATGCAAAAATCGTTGTTGCGTTGCAAAATTTGTACGCGGTGATTTGTGTACTTGTGTAAAGTATGTTTCTGGCCTTGCTCTTTTTGTTTTTGCTGTTATCTAGTAATCGTCATGGAAATTAATTTCTCACAGGGTGTGGGAATACTAAACAAAGAGACAAGAAACGTTCAAAATATAAAACACAGTAACCCCATGTGAATGCTGAGGAAATCAATAAAAAAAAACATGACAAGAACAATTTAAATGACTAACAATATCTTCAGTTTTAACTGCGGTTCGTATTTGGGGTGCAAATAAATGTTGGTCGGCCTGACATCAAGGCTCTTGGCTTTCTGTGCGGGTGAGATTAAACTATCTGTTGATATGACAAGGTCTTGGCAGGGCGGTTCTCAGCTGGAATGAACAACAGCTTCGTTTGTGATAAGATTCAGCTTCTGAGATGCCATGCTTGAACCCGTGTAGCAATTCTCACTGGATTCATTTGGCACGGTAATTCAGAGCTTCATAACCCAAGGTTAATATTTTCACACATAAATAGCTGTGTATTTACTCTGCCTTTGAAAAGAATGATACAAGTAATCTTTTCACCAGTTATTTTGTTCTAGAAGAATGCTCTAAGTCTTTTTGCAATCCTGCAAGTCAAAACATCTTTGTCACTGGACTTCATGAAGAGGAAGTGATTATAATCATATCCTGTCCAAAATCAACTTGGAGTCCCAGAGAAATGACGAGAAACAAGTTTGACCGTATCTACTCATTCTTTTGACTTTTCAAGTCAACAGTTCAAGTCACCAAATCTATGAAATAGCTTAACTTCACATGAAACATGATCTTTTCCACCCCTTTTGCAACCCTAGTTGAGGCATTTTGGAAATATAAAATAATCCCCAAAAGTAATAAAAAAAAAAAAACATGGGGCTGATTTATAAAAATTAGAAATTTGAAAAATTTGCATTCTGGTTGTTTAAATCTAGCTGGAAAAAAACCCACATCTTGCAGCATAATCTTGGTTTAAAGGAATAGTTCACTTAAATTAAAATTATTGTCATCATTTACTCACCCTTAAGTTGTGTCAAGTTATTTCTTCTGCACAAAAGAAGATATTTTTTTAGAATGGCGGTAACCAAACAGTTTATGGGTCCCACTGACTTCCATAGTAGGAATAAAAATACTGTGGAAGTCAATGGGGACCATTAACTGTCTGGTTATCAACATTCTTCAAAATATCTTCTTTTGTGCAGAAGAACAACTTAAGGGTGAGTACAGTAAATGACAGAATTTTAATTTTGATGTGAACTTTCTTTTAAAGAGGTGGTAAAGTATGATTTCACTTTTCTAACTTTAGTTAGTGTGAAATGTTGCATTTTGAGCATAAACAACATTATCAAAGTTACAACGCTCAAAGTTCAAAGCAAAGGAAGATATTTGCTTTTAAAGAAAAGGACTACAACAGTCGGCTGGTGGGGACTATACGGCATTCCTCCCTGGTTGGTGATGTCACCAACCCTAAAATGTACATAATAAGCCCCGCCCCCAGGAACATGCAGTCCATGTTGAGGAGAGGAGAGGAAGAGCTGTAGTATAAGAGTACATTTGTGAGTCAGCTCAAACTTTAGCATCCATCTTTTCACATGTAATAGAGAGTCACTCTGTGTGCATCTCACAACAATTCCTATATGACCGATTTATAGATTACATGACTAGGATTGGGTATCGAGAATCGAGTATCGATTGGAACCGGGACTAACTTTTCATTTTTCCCGGAATCGTTCAAAAGTTAAAATTTCGATTCCTAGTTTCGATATTCACAGTCCGCCGAGCGAAAGAAGAAACCGCTGAACAACACCAACGAAGAAGCGTCTTCCGGAAGTGTTGGCATAACCGCGCGAGTCGAACATGAGTAGCTTACGTCGGTGGTCCAAAGTGTGGCTTCACTTTTCTAAAAAATAATGAAATCTCGGCAAAATGCTAAATTTGTGACAAAAGGAGTATTTGTGACAGAAGGAGTATTTCCTTCAGAAAGGCCGTTGGTTAGCAAGGTTAGCTAAACTTTTTTGACCCTGCCTCTTAAAAGAATCGGAATCGAGAATCGTTAGGAACCGGAATCGAAACAAGGAATCGGAATCAGAATCATTCAAATTCGAAGGATACCCAACCCTATACATGACAGAATATCCTAATTGAAGATAGTTAACTCCACATCTGCAAAGCAACATAAACAGAGACGTCCTGTTGCATTCTACATGTTGTCACTTCTTATTAGACTCTCCATATTTGTCTGCTAATAAACATGAATTTTATAATTAAATTAGATAAATGTAACATGCTATGTAAAAATATCTGTGGTGTATTTTGTGCTAAAACTTCACACACACACTTTGGGCACATCAGAGATTTATTTGACATCTTGTGAAAATGGCATTTTACCACCCCTTTAAGTTTTCTTTAGGCTACCTTGCAATTTAGCAATTTCTAGTTTATTCCCACTAATTTCCTGTTAATTCCCTGGAATTTTGCAACCCTAGAAATAACACAACTGCAATTATGTTGTTT